TAAATCCACTTCGATATTCTATCATTCGTGGAACTTCAGGAATACCATGAATCGCACCTTTACTCGTGCTTGGTTTTAATTCTCCTGCAGCGATGGTAGTCCAATGTTGGACCGCCCCAAAATCCTTCATGCGTAATTTCTTAGCAGAGTTTGAGCACATCAAATATCGGATGCTCCTGTATCCAGATAGCAAAAGAGTTGTAACGGGTTTTGGTTTCCCTTTTTCCGCTTGTTAAATCTACATAACCGAATTGGTTTGAGGTCCTTGTCTTGCTGACGTTGACAAAGGGTGGTGGCCACGACGAGTTAACGATGCTAAATAGATCATACAGAGTACTAGTTGAGCAGTTTAGGCAATCATCTAATTGCCGTTAAGTGTCATTCCGGTTGCATAACAATTCTTAGTTTACTAGTTCAGTGAGATAACTCATCACACTTTGGTATGAGATTCCGGAACATGTTCCGTTGAGCGATCAGCATAATATCACTGGCTTAATGCCTTCAGAGAAGAGATGTCTCCTAGTCCAAAGGAATGAAAGTCCCGGGGATAGTATGATCTGCGGTTATGCACGAGTCTCGATTACTGCCTTGGCTGAACGGGTCGTAAGTTTGCAGGTGTGCCACAGATTAGTCGATGCTTCGGTCTCTCATATGTGCGGACGAGATGAAGAATGGTTTTGTCACTTTAGGCACTGTCTCGAAGTTGCCTGAAGTCGCATGATGCTGTTCCTTGAGCCCAATCTTCATGGTGAGGAATAGGTTGAGGGTAGCTGAAAGCTATTATGTTTGTTAACAAAATGCACTACGCTAAAAGCTAGTGTAAAGATCTTTCGAGTGTTTTGAGTTTGAGAGAATGAAAGTTATGAGAGAGATTAGAAAGCTATGGAAACTAATCAATGAGAGAGATCACCATCAAAGGATCGTAGATCTGGTCTCCCCCGGGAGACTATAAAGTGTGATAGAGTAGGTTGCGGTAGTAATCCTACGTATCTCCACGATCCTAAAACGGAACGCGTGGAAGATTCGTCTAGCATGGATCTAGTAGCGTGGAAGTACTCCACGCTAGCTAAATATCTAGAGCGATGTTTCATCATCAACCTAGTATGACTAGAGCGGTCATTGAGAACCCTGTCTTAAATGACTATTCACGAGAGACTCAGTCATGAGTCGAACTCAAACCCTATCTAGGATCGAGTCGCGAATAGGGCTAAGAGCCGTGTATTGCAGTGGTGATGATACATTGCAAGTATGGGATCTCTCCAATGGATCAGAGCTGTTGACCTTGAAAGGGCACACTGGTGATGTTGAGTGCTGCGCAGTCTTCCAGAATGGCCAGAGAGCTCTCAGTGGCAGTTATGACAACACGTTGATAGTATGGGATCTCTCCGATGGAACAGAGCTGTTGACCCTGAAAGGATACACAGAAGGCATTAACTGCCGTTCAGACTTTCAGGGTGGTCATAGAGCCATCAGTGGAGGTTATGATGACAATCTGTTGAAAGTGTGGGATTTGACTGATTTTTTTAGCTTTGATTACTAGCTAGCCCAGCTTGATGGGCTCACAGCTGTTTGTGTCGATCTCTATTTTTTTTTAAAAGTAACGCTGGTATATTTGATTACGGGGGTTTAGAGTAGGGTAATTATCTACGGAAGCCAGCCGGGGCAAGGCTTTTAAAAGCAAAGAACAGTCAAAATTCAGGACTAGGTTCTGTGGGATCAGGGGCAAGAAAATGAGGATCATTATGGGGGCCGAATGGTTTGGCTTTGCGAGATCCACCGAGAAATAAATGGGTAGCTTTCACAAGGGCAATTGAGATACGAGTCTGCATGAAGAACATCATTTGCGAGTAGGAAAATTGAGTTTTGGAGGCAGTAGCAGAAGCAAGGCGTTGTAAAAGAATCTTGGCTTGGGGGCGAGCATGCCATCCACGGAAACAACAAAGGGATGGAAGGAAGCGCGATTAGAGTCGCAGGCTTCTTTATATTTGTTTACCTCGGCAGTCTATCTGCCTGAGCCCTCACCCCCTTTTTTGGTATTTCCTATTTCCTATTTCTGTTTCCTATTCCGGTGAAGCCAAAATATAGGGATAGAGATAGGCATAAGCCAACCAAACTGGCAATTGAAGGTTCAAATGAATTTAGGAGTAGGAATGAATCAATATTATTTAAGATTAGTGCACTCAGCACAAAATCATTAAGCCAGCAAGAGTTGTAAAGACTAGAGTTACAAATGGAATGACAGATGTAAAATTATGGGTTTGCCGGCGGCAACACACGACGAAGTCGGGTGTTGTCGCCAAGGTTAGCTTAATAAGACAGAAGGTTACAATGAGAGAATGATAGTGGGTGGCAACACACGATGAAGTCGGGTGCTGTCGCCAGGGCTAGCTTGAAAGAAGGGTGCAATCTCAAACATGATCCTCCTTCTTCTACAGTATCAGTCTTTCTGTCGTAAAAAAATAACGAAATTTTATTTTAAAGGCTACACCTCGTCAGACAATCCGCTGAACGGTGCCGTGACGAACCCATATACCTCAGGCGCACAAGGGCGCCCACTTAGAATGGGCCTAGTGTAAGCCCCCCACCGGAGAAATTGAACAAAACTCCAAAGGGTGCTGTACGACTAACTATCTAGGCGAGGCTAAATCGCCCGCTATTGCTATGGGAATCCCACATCGGCGCATAGTTACCCTGATTGGGAAGGCTGCTCGCGTGCATGCTCATCCCTCATTGCTTTGTCAACAACTGGAAGCCAATTGGCCAGCCATGCTTTGATATCCCCCGGCCCTTTGGCCATCTGTTCTTCCAGGGGTCGTTTGAAGATGGTATCAAGGAGATGCTCCGGGAGCAGATCTGCTTTTTCATACAGGAGCTCAACCTCTCTTTGGAACTGTTTGTGTTTCTTGCGCCATTTCTGTTCCTGATCCCGGCCGTGCCTGGCGGCATTGCGATCTTCCCAGAGATTCCACCACTGCTGGATCAGAACAGAAGCCAGATTGGTGACCCAAAGCTGCCCGGTCTTGGTGGTCTCCTTGGAGCCGACCCGATGCAAATAGGCATCTTGGTGCTTGGCCCAATGCTTGGACAAACGTCCTCTCAGGAAATTATCCCAACCAATGAGATTTTGAGTGTCAACAAGGTCCCTATACCGTTCTGGGCAATGCCACGGGTGTAGGAACCGGTCTTCAAAGTGATATTGAAGCCCATCAAGAGCGATTTCCAATAGGAAGGGGTCTGTGGAGTCCTTGCGCAACTTTGTACTGATTGCTCGTTGCATGGTCCCTCGCCACAAATCCACGTCAACATGCAGGCATCTGTAAACATGGGTCTCAGTCTCATAACCACCGTCGCAACGGGGACAATGATGATCGTACTTGGGGTCATCCTGGTGTATTCGTTTCCCAACTGGCAACAATTGAAAGAGAAACTTCACAATTGTCGGTTTGTGGATTTCATGACGGTTGACAGCACGACCATGAGCTGTCCAATCAACCAGTTCCCGGGTGTCCTCGTTCCAATCTGGATTAAGTTTGACAATGTGGTCGAACAAGGGCTGGTCGTTCCTCAGATGCCGCAGCGTCCTGGGGAGTTTGTATGTGCATGTTCCTTTGGGAAGGTGCAGCTGGGCCAAGTTGGCCGGAAATCGGAGCACCTTGGAGTGATCCTGTTTCATGTGTCTGGTCATGTAACTGCCTTTCTGCCGTATCGCAGCTCCCGCTGACTTAATTGCTTGGATCTTACTGCAGGCTCGCTTCTTTTTTCGTTTCGTAGCGTCCTGTTTGTACAGGCTGTATCGAAGCTATTGACGCAAACGCAAGCACGGTCCCGCTAGGACATTCAAATGAGAACTACGACATCAGGACTAAAAGCGTTAATGTACTTAGAAAAGATTTAGAGGATTACATCCCTTGCTCCCAGCCACTCGTATGCTCCTCTTCATTATTTCGATCTAATCAATCTATTGATCTATCAAGATGATGCTATCTCCTCTTCTCTACAGCGGTTAGTCTACTCCTCTTTCATGGCTACCGATACTACCACTCCACCATAACGTGATCCTCTTGGTTAGCTCGCTGGAAGCAGCGGCAGCGGCAGCCGTTTGACGGATCGATTCGGTCGACCGATGACTTCTTTCTTCTTTCTTCTACTACGGAGTAACCTCTTTCTTCTTCCACGGAGCGACCATGACACGGAGCGATTTGTCGCAGGGACCATGACACCTCCTCTTCCAAGGAGCCAAGGATGCAACACACGGCTACTACTCTACAGGAGCTGCTTCTGTTCGACGGATCGACTTCTTCTTCCACGGAGGAACCATGACGCCACATCTTCCACGGAGCGTCCGTGAAGCCTCTGCTATTGATAGTACAAAAGCAACAAGCGGCATCTACTCTACTACTTCTTTGGCTTGTGAACTGGTTGACCGACAACAAGCATCAAATCTGCTGCATTTTCACCAACCTCAACTCAACAATAATTCTCCTTTGGATCGTTGGGATGGGTGCTCCAGTCTTCATGCAAAGCCATCCATCCATTTACATGCCTCTACAGTGCAGATTGAGTGCTGAGAGTGAAGACTTTCCCAGGAGAAATCCATGGCAGAATGACAACAAAATGGAATCCAAGCCTAATTTTTCCTAGAAGCTCCATAGGAAACCTTGGAGATAGCAAATCCTTTTTGAGGGGTGGCTCAGTGAGTGTGTTGGGGAGCTGCTCCTAGAAAAGGATTTGCTATCTCAATGTATTGGTAAAGCTAATAGCCATTTGGTCAACACTGTTGCCATGGTGATAAAATTCATTTTATTTTCTTCATTCTTTTTCTTGTGGGAAACAGTCATTTCTATGCAGGATTCGCGAAATGACCACTTCTAATGGAAATGACCGCTTCCGATTTTGGTTTGGCCAAAACGAATTTGGAATTGTCAAATGAATCTTCTCCGTCGCGCCAGTCCGTACTCGTAAGACAAAAGACAAGCAGAAAGACTGTCACTCCATTGAGGATGCTTGAAAGAACCCTGAAGAGACGTTTTCCTCTATGCCTTTCGTGGCAATGGCTGCAATTATTGTTGCTGTGTCTTTGTCCTTCCGTGACGGTTCTTGGCCAGCAGTGCTTTGATACGGGAGATTGTCTGGATCCTGCTGTTCTGGAAGATTCTCACGACGCCGTCACAGAAAGTACTACTAGTAGTAGCGACTCCTCTAGTAGCATTCCCGACGTGCTGGTGTTGCTGTGCACCCAATCGTTTACTGGAGAGCAATTGGTGGACGAGTTTTTGGTGGATGCCCTGGCCGGTCAGAACAATGTTCGCATCCAATTGGTCGATGAAGCCGGCATTGATTGGGCTTGGAAGAGTGACGACCAACATCATTTGTTGGACGAGACTGATCAGTCCACCACACAGTTGCTGCTGTCTCATCGCGCCAAGAGTATCCTCTTTGTAGCATCCACCTACGGAGATGGAGATCCACCCAATCATGCCCTTGAATTTGCCGATTGGTTGCTCTCTTCTGCTACTAGCACTACTACTAGTAGTGAGGAAGAAGACCCCATTCCCTTTGCCGTCTTTGGATTGGGCGATCACGCATATCAACACTTTTGCATCTTTGCCAAACTCATTGACGAGACGTTGGCTCAACGAGGAGGACGACGATTGTTGCCACTTCAAACAGCCGATGCCCAACAAGGAGATCAAGCCGGACACTTTGCCCAGTGGACTCAACAAATTGTGCAAGTACTGCAAGACCAGCAAATACTAGCACCAGCTCAAGCTTCTTCCAAACAAACTCAATCACAACAACAATGGACCGTTCCCTTTGCATCCACCGGAATGGACTGGCGCAAATCCAACCGCGATCCCACTTATACCAATCTTGCCACCTTTCATAGTGCTACTGAATTGCTAGTAGATGACAGCAACAACAGCAACCGATCCGTGTTGCACGTCGAATTTCACATTCCCAAAAGTACCTGTCAACCACTCCACGTCTGTCAACAGTTGCAACCCGGCGATCATTTGGGCATTTATCCTCGCAATTCCCGACACACCGTCCAAACGGCGTTGCAATGGTTGCTCCTGGACGACCATAATAATTGTCAAACCACACTGGCCATTCGCGACAATGACAACAACAAGTGGATTCCCCACCCGATTAATGCCTACGACTTTTTGGCTGCTCATGTGGATTTGGCGGGACGTGCTACTCCGTCGGCACTGCGCGCCTTGTTGCCCTTTGTGGGGACACTCGAATTGCGGGCGTTGGCCAGGGATTTGACTCATGTCAGCACCACTGCAACAACAAGCAATGATACCACGAATACTACAACGACTACCAATACAACTCTGACTCTATTTGACCAGTGGCTAGCCGCCCAACAAAATCCGTTCATGACCAAGTTGGAGTTGGCCATGGTCTTTGAATGTCGGCCGTCTCTGCAGGCATTGGCAAGGGCGCTGGGACCCATTCAACCGAGACTCTACTCGATTGCCACTGTCAATCAACATGACGACAGTACGCTGCGCATTGGTATTTGCATGGCCGTGGCCGAACGGGGTCTCGCCACCAATTTTATCGCCCACATGGCACCGTCCGCTCTGGTGGCGGTCCTTTTGCGACAATCCAAGTTTCATTATGGCAGCACAAGCGATCATGTCAACAGCAGTACCCTCTTGGTGGCGGCGGGGACGGGAATTGGACCCTACATTGGCTTTTTGCAACAGCAACAACAACAACAACAACAACAACATCCCAGCAATGCACCCATTCGTCTCGTCTACGGGGCCCGCTATCCGTCGGATGTGCTCTATCGAAACGAGTTGGAACAGTTATTACTAGCACGACCTGCAGGATTACTTTTGCCCTTGGAAGCGCACGTGGTCTTTTCACGAGTCCCACCGCGACAACACGTCCAAGATGTGCTTCTTCAACCCAACATGACCGCGGTGCTGTGGAAGGACGTCTTTGTGGAGGCGGGGCGGGTATTTGCCTGTGGCGATTGAAATTTGCGACGGTGTCAAGCACGCACTCGCGCAAGCGGCCGTGACTGTCGGCGGCATGTCACTGCAAGAGGCAACGTTGCGGGTGCAGCAAATGGAACAGCATCAGCAACTCTTGACCGATTGTTGGTCGGTCGAAAGCCCTCCATCGTACAACAACTCGAGTGCTGTGACGTCTCTATCCATTCCTCACACGATCGCTCGTTTGCAACGGCACCATGGAGGAGCATCCGACAAGGAGAACACTTCGCCAGAAGAACAAGAACGCGACAATACCTGCACGGCATCGTCCGATGCGGAATCTTGCTCCAACGACAACAACAATAATCCAGACCTCTCCAATATTCCCGAATGGCCGTCGTACTTGAGAATGCTAGCCTCGGGCGAATTCGATCGTCGTCTCGAAGAAGCCACCAACATGTTCACGGCCTGCGTCGCCTGTGGTCGTTTCTGCGAAGTGGATCGACTCTCGTCCGATAAGGCCGACTGGGGCGAATGCCGCATTGGACAACAGGCCATTGTCTCGGCCGTCGACGCACACTTTGGGGAAGAACCCTGCCTCAGGGGTGTCAATGGATCGGGAACAATATTCTTTGGTGCTTGTAATTTGAAATGTATTTACTGTCAAAACTGGAAGCTGTCCGCCATGGATCAAGGGGAAGTGGTGTCGGATGAACGGTTGGCAGACTACATGCTGCACCTGCAGGAACGAGGGTGTCACAACATCAACTTTGTCTCACCCACGCACAACATTTTGCCTCTCCTTCGTGGTGTCTACATTGCTGCCAAGAGAGGACTGCGACTGCCGATTGTATTCAACAGTGGAGGGTACGATTCGGTGGCGTCGCTGCGATTGTTGGAAGGGATCATTGACATTTACATGCCGGATGCAAAGTATTCCTCTCGAGCTGTGGCTAGAAAGCTCTCCAAGATTGACAATTACGTTGAGATCAATCAGGCGGCCATCAAAGAAATGCACCGTCAAGTTGGTGACCTTCAGATCGACCCACGCACGGGCTTGGCGTACCGTGGATTGTTGGTACGGCACCTTGTCTTGCCCAATGACTATGGTGGGACGCACGACGTTGCCGATTTCTTGTTCAATGAAATCAGTCAAAACACCTACACGCACGTCATGAAGTACTATCGTCCCGAACACGAGGCCACTGACGACACCAAGTACGGGTTGAACCGAAGGCCCTCCAACAACGAGTTGGCGGAAGCTCTGAAACGTGCCAGATTTGCGGGCTTGAATCGGATTCTGTATTGAATTAGGATTTCAGGATCAGTTCCAAGGTGGGAGACGGAAGACTGCCGCACGACGGGTTTCCTGTAGTGTCTACTGTGGAAGAATTGCAGGATGCTCTGGGCTGGGGGTCTCCAGTGGAAAAGGGGGCGAAGTCGAGTCGAGTCGAGTCAGTTCATTAGGATGCATGTTGAGAACCCTGGCGATGGGCTGGGCCGCCGCTTTTAAACATGTTGTCTCGCGGGGGGCATCTGGGCTGAAGAAGCAATGGACGAGGTTTTAGAATGAGCCTACATGTATTCTCCACACCTTTTCACTCTACCGTAGGAGAAGCAGTTGCTGTCTACTGTAGCTCTACGATTGATCATTCTCTCAACACGTTTACACAACATAACATCGATGAGACACACACTAATAGTATCCAATCAAGTAGTAGTATTGGTGGTTTCCAGAGATCCGTCAACTCCAACCACAATATCAACAGTGATCTCAGAAAAAGACTCCCAAGCACCACCAAATGAATACAACACTGTGTCACTGGCTGCTGTTAGAGTGATCCACCCAGTTCCAATGCCATCCCCATAGCTGTCAGACACAACCAGTCTGTAAACTGTGCTGGGATTGACTGTGAAAAGGGAGGAGTGAAGGTTCCCGGAAACTACCAGTGGACCATCTGATTCGAGTGTCTCCCAAACACCAGTCACATTGGTTTCTTCCTGCCAAACCCATGATGTTTCTTCAGGCGAATAAGCTGTGCGGATATTTAAGAGGACAGCACCACCCATCCCTGGAAACCGTCCAGGCAAATCAGGTTGAGCTTCCTTGAGATCAGCACATGTAGACACCACAGAAACATTTTTGGTGCAATCACACCACAGGAAAGCACAAAGATGTTCCGGAACAGTTCCTGAGAATTGATTTCCATATAGTCTCAACCCCATTGAAGCATTCAGCTGGCTAGGAAGGGGTCCCGTCAAGGCATTGTTGTGAAGATACAGTGATGTCAATGAAGTCATCAGTGCAAGCTCAGATGGTATTTGGCCAGATAGCAGATTGCCAGAAAGGTTAAGATCTTCCAATAAGGTCAGCTGTCCTAGCTCCGAGGGAACTTGGCCGGTGAGCTCATTATCGTAAACGTGGAGTTGGTAGATCAATGAGGTCAGGAGCCCAATCTCGCTTGGTAAGGATCCAGTGAAAGAATTTGCGTTAAGATAAAGCACCAAGTCCAAGGTAGTCAGCAACCCGACTGCAGAAGGAATTTTGCCCGACAGCTGATTCATAGCAAAGTCAAGATCTTCCAATGAGGTCAGAAGTCCAAGTTCAGAAGGCATTGGACCCGTCAATTGATTGTTGCGAAGATTGATTGACTCCAATGAGGTCAAGAGCCCACACTCAGAAAGAACTTGACCGGTAAACTGATTCCCCTCCAACCACAAGAAAGTCAAAGCAGTGAGGAGACCAACTTCAGAAAATACTTGGCCTGTCAACTGATTATACATCAAATCCACTTCAGTCAAAGCAGTCAGTTGTCCTAATTCGGAAGGAATCAGGCCCGTGAACTGGGATCCACCTAGCCACAACTGAGTCAGAAAAGTTAGCTGTCCAAGCTCAGAATGAAGCGGTCCGCTCAAGAGATTGCCGCTCAAGTACAAAGAAGTCAAATTGAGTTGTCCCAGCTGAGTAGGGATTTGGCCGGTCAATGAGCTCCACAACCCAAAGGTCTTCAACTGAGTCATCTCGTAAAGTTCAGTTGGCAAGAAAGAAGACAACGGCGAAGCAAGGTCCCCTGCAAGGGAAATTACATACAGCGAAGTCAACAGAGCAATCTCCGGTGGAAGAAATGGCGAAAACCCCGAAAGCTGCAGTTCACCGAGAGCCAGTGCTTCGAATCGTCCTTGGGAAGTGCACGGTGACGACTCTGATCCATTTGGCCATTCAATGAAAGATCCAGAAGCACTGAAATAACCCAATCCAGTGGAGAACCAGTGACACTCTTCCACCATGTCATCCATCCATCCATGGCCCCTTATTAAAGGGTTCCAATTCTCTCCCTCAAGAGCATAAAAAAATGTAGCAAGAGCAAACAGCTGTTGCTTCCTCCACTCTTCCAGGTTTGTAATATTCTGGTGTTCTGCTAGCCATCGCCATGCCTTCCATTGAGGGGTCTCACTGCCCTTCCTGATGCTGGCCAATGTGTGATCAGGTAGGCTATCAAACAGCAAGTCAAGAGCACCAGTGGGAGAATAGGACGGTACTTCGGATGGTTCCATGGAGAAGGCAGGAGTTGGGTTATTAGCTGTTTGGGTGACTGTCTCCCTTCGTTTTCGTGTCCCGACCACTGCACCCACGATAATGGCTGCTGCAATGCATACAGTGACCGAAAACCAAATAAATTGTTGCTTTAATCTCCCTTTCCTTTCTTGTCTTTCTTGCACCTTGCCAAGATCAACTGGATCTGCCAATGGCCTAGTCAGCTCTTCCTCGGGATCTTCTACAACAAGATTTGCCACTGCCAATTGTTGGTTGCTGGTGGTATCATTGTCGTTGTTGGTTTGGTGGAGGTTGTTGGGCAATTCTCGGTTTGTTTCGGTCGAGGAATCGTCCGGATCCACATCTTCGCTTGGTAACAGCGTCCCTGTGTTGGTACCCACTAGCGAGAATCGGAGTGAATCAGCTCGTTGTGGGGCTTCTCCTGGAGTACCCATGTAGGCTCCTGGACGAGATGGCTGCTGCCTCTGTGGAAGCGTTCGTTGTGTTCTGCCATCTGGAACCTCTTGATTGCCTTCTGTTGAAGAAATAGCTTGGTCAGTTACCGCAGTCCCACTCAACTTTTTTCATTTTGGCAGCCTCATTGATTTCTGTTGCCATTTGCAGGAGGGCGGTGTTGCTACTGGTAGCAGTGTTGTAGTGTTGCTGCATGATATCTTCGCCCCCCGTCAACATTGCCGATCCTTTGGCTGGCAATCCCGCAGCTGTTTTCCCCTTTCGGAAAAATGATAGCTGGCCAGGTGGCTGTTTGGTTGCTGATGGATGGTGGACGGTGTTGCTACCGGCAGCAGTGTTTTGGTGTTCTTGTTTAAGATCTTCTTCTGCTAGAAGCTCTGCAGCTGCCAAACCAGCCTGATCTGCCACAAATTTCATTACGTCTTCATCTTCTTCTTCTCTTGGTTCATTTGTTTCTAGATTTTGGAGCTGCTGTTGCTGTTGTTTGGTACCTGCAGTGCTTCTAGTACTTCGAGTAGGAGAAGCGTTTGTGGCCCTCTGCTTCTTTTTGGCGGCCCCTGTCTTGGCAGGTTCTTCTTCTTCCCGGGTTTTAGCAGTGACAGATTCTACATCTCTTTGTTTCTGCGTAGCTTCTGCTTCAGCTCTCTTTATGAGAGCATCTCTGATGGCAGGGTCGAGTTCTGCTTCCATGGCTGACCTTCGATCAGCTGAATCCTGGACCGGAATAGCTGTCCTGTTGTCTGCCATTGGTGTTAACGAGTCTGATCGAATACAGGCCTTGCTTCACGATATCTATCGGGTAAACTGGGAAGTTACTATGGATGGTTTACAACGAAGAGAGCTGCAAGTCTATGTCCGCGTACTAGCATACTCAACAAGCTCCAGCTAGCTATCTACTATCTGGCTACCGGTAGATTATGCTTATGAAAGCATGGAGCCTCCGAAGATCCGCTGCAAGGTCGGTTTGCCATTCGACCCACCCCCAAGAAGGTGGCAGAGATCACTTCTATCTATTCAATCAAGCATGGTTTTCAGAAAGTTCTATTCATGGTTTTCAGTCCCCGTGATCGCTGATCTCCGGGAACCTTGGCTCTGAGGTAGGGGGGAGGTTTTCAGTCGTGGATACAGAATGATTGAACAAAAGTCCGCTCCCTAATGTGTTTCTCAACAAACGCCCGAAGGACCAGACAGCAATTCTGTCCTAGCTATTAGAAGAAGGGGTTTAGAGTAGGGAAATTATCTACGGAAGCCAGCCAGGGCCAGGCTTAAGCAAAGAACAGTCGAAATTCAGGACTAGGTTCTGAGGGATCAGGGGCAAGAAATTGAGGACCATTACGGGGGGCAAAGGGTTTGGCTTTGCGGGATCCACGGAGACATAAATGGGTAGCTTTCACAAGGGCAATTGAGATACGGGTCTGCATGAAGAACATCATTTGAGAGTAGGAAAATTGAGTTTTGGAGGCAGTAGCAGAAGCAAGGCGTTGTAAGAGAGTCTTGGCTTGAGGGGCAAGCATGCCATCCACTGAAACAACAAAGGGGTGGAAGGAAGCGCGATTGGACTCGCACGCGTCCTAGCTATTAGTAGCTATCATAGGTGGTAAGCACACCGTTATGTTGATGATACCACTGCTTCGTATCGCTCTCTTGCTGGTTCTGGGTGCAGCCATGTCAGTGCCAGAACCACCACAGCGTCGCAAGGGAGCACCAATACCACATGTTCCCACGAGACAGAACGTTGAGCACAGAAGAATACAAGCAGAAACGCATACTTCTTCCATCACCATTCCCTCTGATTCCGTCTTTGGAGACGTCAGGTCACTGCAAGAAGAGCACAACTCGTCCATGTGTTCCATTTGCCATGATTCAACCGTGATTGACGACTTGGTTCCGTTTTATCTCAGCAGTGAGGAGGCCGGCATTCCCTCGAATCTGACATGTGGTGAGTGGGAACAATTGGCCCAATCGTCTCTACTACGAACGGATGACGACTGCGACTCTTGGATTCGCAACTTTTACTCGCAGTGCTGCGAAGGATCTGTCCCCGTTTATCAGTGTGAGTCCAACATTCGACACCAAATACTGGAACACTACGATCCCGCCGTGCCTCCCATTGTCAGTCCTCGATCCCCCATAGATGTCACGGTGACACTGTCCCCCAATGCCGTGGAAAAAATTGACGTTCAGACGGGAACGGCACGCATCATGATGAGTCTCTTGATGGAATGGAAAGACGCACGTCTTACATGGGAACCAACCGAGGACACGTGTGCCGGTTCCGTTGCCTTGTGGGCCGGATATGAAAAGGAAAAAACCGAAGTGTGGGTTCCCGATATTGACATGTACAATCAAGTGGAAGGACTTCAGACCATGCCCGATACATTGGCACTGGTGAACAGCAATGGGATGGTGTCGTGGAGACGCAATGGTGGTGTCACGGTATTCTGCCAGTTCACCGGTCTCAGTCAAATTCCATTCGACATGCTGGGCTGCCAAATCATTGTGGGACCCTGGGTACGGCAATCTAGCAACCAAATCCGTTATCAGCTCTTTAATGGGACCGGCTTGCAAGTTGGTCCATTTGAAGGAACGTTCAATGAGTATCTGCCAGTACCAGAGCTCTCCGAAAGTGGTACAGCCTTTGGTGGAGGCGTCATGTACTTCAACTTGTACTATCGTCGAGCGCAAGCATACTATGTCAACAATCTTCTTGTAAGTGGAATTCCGCTGTGCATCTGACATGTGTATTCATTCTTATTATGTATTGGTTGACCTCTCTCTTTTGTTTGTTCCACAAACCCAGATTCCAACGGTCGTTCTCACGTATGTCAGTATGGGAACCTATCTGTTGGACCTTCGAGTCGGGGAACGGCTCAGCTATGGCATGGCTTTGGCACTTGTAGTGGTGGCACAGCAAATTGCGACAGGAGGCATGATTCCCATCAGCAATGAACGATTGTGGATTGATAAATTCATTGGTTGGAGTTTCTATTGGATCATTCTGGGATTGGTGGAATCGGTTGCCGTTGGCTATCTCTACTTTTTCCGCAAGGACAAGGCTGAAAAAGGAGAGTCATCCCCGGAACAACAGCAACAGCAGAACCCCGTGTACAACGATATGAAAGTAGTACCAGAGACTGAAGAACAGGGTCAAAGCAACGGTGGGCCAAAATCAGAGTTTTTTTCCACCAGATCTCGCCAACCACAACAATCCACAAGAGGCGAAGACCGTTCCATTGTTTTGAATGAACGAAACTCTACAGTAGTAGATTGCGACAACCTTGCCAGTTACTTGGAGGAGGGCATGATCTCTGGTGCTGGAGGAGGGCATGCCCAAGATCCATTGACAAGTGACCACAATAATGGCACAACACAATTTGCTACCTTCAAGCAACAACTTCAGGATCATCCCTCCGAAAGCTGGATGTACACAGTTTCACTTCGCCGAATCGATCGGTTCTTTTTCTTTTTTACACTGGTGACCTATACCATCTTCATTATTGTCATGTTTGCCTCCAGGCCATATTGGGGTAGAAATTTGAAGAACGTGTGGCTGCATCAGGGTGACGCTAGCTGGGATAGCGATAGATGACATCCTGGTATTCCAGTGGTGAACAGGGGAGTCTAGCTGGAACCAACCGGTCAAATTCCAAAGTGCCCTTCAGATACCCAATGGTCGAGATAACTTGTTGTGTGACCTGGATATGGCAGGATGCAATTATTGGCTGGCTAGCCAGTCACACAACGAATAGTCATCCCATAGCAGCCATGTTTCTCATCAGTGGGTGCAACGGGACATTGAAAATAGGGGCTAGCTAGCTGGCAAAGATGATTATCGCAGTCTAGTTTGGCTTATGGTAACGGGCTCGCAAACAAACGACTTAGAAGTCTCGCTGTCGTTTGGTACCAAGCTGCTCGGGATACTTTTGCTGGAAATCCTCCCAAACCATTTTTCCAACCCTATCGTTCTCCTTTACTTCTTTGGCAAACTGTACCATGGTCATTCCGCCGTAGACCGCCTTGTCATTGGCTCCTGATTCCATTAGCAAGGAAAAGGTGCGGTATCGTTTTGCAATCCCGGCATTCAAAAAGAGGAACAAGGGAGGCTGGCCAGAACTGTTGCGCACGTTGGCGTCAGCTCCCATTTGAAGTAGAAAACTGACAAAACCACATTCATCCGGATCGTGCGATAGCACGTAGGTCAGAGGGGTGTCCAGTACCTTGTCACCATCAAAGGCATGCAAAGCGTTCAGCCAGGCAAATCCACCCACTTTGCGAGTATACGCGCTAAAGTTCTTCCATTGCTCATCCGCGTCGGCTTCGTCATGGTCATCGTCCTCTCCGTAGTGATAAAAGCAACAGTCCAGCAACTCCTTCAATTCCGTTGGATCTTCTTCCGGCTTGGCAGGCCACAGGGAATTGCCAAATTTCTTCAGCTCGGCCTTCGTTAGGTCTCGCTTATCAAGTTGTACGGGTGGCATCTTAGTTCAGTTCCAGTAATAGAGGTCCTTCAAAGGATATCTCGGCGTAGCATACATACCACTCCAACATGTATTAGGGGTCTTCAAAGCCTCTCACTCCTCGAAAAAGTTTTTTTTTAAACTTTTTGGAGTTAGCCAATTAGAAATAAAGGACTTTGAATACCCCAAAAGGCAAAACCTCTTTTTCGCTTTTTGTTTTTTGCCGAACCATGCTGATTGCTGATCCTTAGCCCTTGTGTGGGCTAGCTAGGTCGTCACATCAGTTCAAAATGAAGGATTTGCCGTCTAAGGTCTGGCTGTGGTTGGGCAAATTCTGGTCGATTTCATCAAAAAATCGTGTTATCGTGGGCCCAAAGGCGAAATTTAAAGTAAAAAAAGCTGAAATGGCGAAATTTAAGGCAAAACAAAGCTGGATCTTGGGGTAGCGACGGCCAGACCTTAACCGGCTCTTGATCTGATGTGTCGTGCTTCAGGACGCTTTTATCGATTTGTGAAAAGATTTACTGCCAGCTCTGTCTTTCAGTCTCGTCCATACATGTCCAAACTCAGGGTACCTGGTACCTGGTACCTGGTAGTTAAGGCTTTTCTTTAAGCGGATAAAGACAAGGAATTAGAAAATTTCCCTACTCTAAAGCCCCCGTTAAACCTAAAAATTATGTTACTGGTATTCGGCAACTTTGCTTTAATTAAGCGGCTAGAGTCAAGGAATTATGCTACTAATATTCAGCAATCTTATGTAACTTTACCGAGTTCGCTGTTGCGTTGTTGCGTTTACCCTCGCCTAACTACCGGTACCGGTACCGGTACCGGTACCGGTACCGGAACGTCGTACTGTTTTTCTGTTACAGGGTACGTCAAAGGTTCAAGCCCTGATGAATGAATGCTGGTTATTATTACTACTGGTTCGTTACCAATAGCGGTGGGCGTAACAAGGTCACTGATCGTGATGAACCAGTATGTGGTTACTATCGGTATCAAGGTCGTGGGCAGCATTGCATTGCAGGGCGCTCGAGCCTCACATTTAGATAGATGTGGAAGCAGCTGTGGAAGCAGCTGTGGAAGCTATCCATCAGCGATGGTTCGGAGGGTCACCGTTTTCCTTGATTGATTCGCAAGACAGTACTTTTTTAAAAAAAAGGTTCCCCCTTCAACGACTTGAACATGAGCAAACCTCGTGAGAGGCAAAGCAATCTTTGGAGGCTCTTCGCTTTCAAAAGCATGAATAGAAGTCTCACTACTAGCTTGCTAGCTAGCTACCGGTATAGAGCTAGTGCACGGGAATCGACATGCAACTCTCGGCTTTGTCCATCTCCAACCATAAAAGATTGATATATTGAAGCAAGGACATTTCAGCCTCATTAACACCAATACCAATGGCAGACAACAGGAAGTCTATTCCGGTCCAGGAATGGTCAGCCACGGAGATAGAACACGACCTTGCTGTAAGAGACGAAGCAGAAGCTTCACAGAAACAAAGTGATGCAGAAACATTCGCTGCTAAGACCCGTGAAGAAGAAGAATTTTCTGAAATAGGGACCACCAAAAAGAAGAAGAGGGCCACAAGTCCTTCTCCTACTCATACTTCTACGAGGACTGCGTGTACTAAACAACAGCGACAGCGGCTGCAGAATCAAGAAACAAATGAACTCAGAGAAGAAGAGGGAGAAGAAATATTGAAATTTGTGGCAGATCAGGCTGGTTTGGCAGCTGCAGAGCTTCTAGAAGAAGATCTCAAACAAGAGCACCCAACCACTGCTACCGGTAGCATGACCCTCCACCATCCATCAGCAACCAAACGGTCACCTGGCCAGCTATCATTTCTCCCAAAGAGACAGACGGATTCTGCGGGTGTGCCAGCCAAAGGATCGGCAATGTTGAGGGGGGCCAAAAATATCATGCAGGAACACAACCACAACACTGCTACCAGTAGCAACACCGCCCTCCTGCAAATGGCTACAGAAATCAGCGAGGCTGCCAAAATGGAAAAGATGAGTGGGACTGCGGTTACTGGCCAAAGTATTTCTTCAACAGAAGGCCATCAAGAGGTTCCAGACGGCAGAACACAAAGAACGCTTCCACCAGTGGTTCAGGAAAGAGCATCTCAAGAGAGGCAGCAGCCATCTCGCCCGGGAGCCTACATGAGTGCTCCCGGGGAAGCCCCACAACGAACAATTACACTCCGATTCTCCCTCGTGGGTGCCGACATGGCTCCAATAGTACCAAATGAAGATATGGATCCACAGATTTCCACAATAGAACCAAACAGCGAATTGCACAACAACCGCAGTACCAACAGCAACCAACAATCGGAAGTGGCAAATCTTGTTTTAGAATATCCCCAGGAAGAGCCACGAAGCAACCAAACAAATCATGATCAGACACCTCAAGGACCAGTGGCCGTTTGTGTGAGTGGCAGTCCCCTATTCACAAGTACCACTCGTAGAGGTAGCAGCTTGAACCGGGGATTGGCAGTGGCAAACTTGGTAGACGAGGAAGTCCACCCTGCCTTTCCTGAACCTCAAAATCCTACCGCTACTGATGGTCCCCAAAGAAGCAAAGACAAAACCAAGGAACTCAAAACCAGTATCTTTTTTTTGGCTATGCTTCTAATTGTCCTTGCTGCCGTGGCAATCGCCGTGGCTCTTTCCACAAGAAAGAAGAGCAATACCGAGGAATTTGTTGCATCCTCCGTGGTCCCACCTGTTTCTCCTTCCGAAGCACCGACGTCCTTGCAGGGATCCATACTCTCTCTTTTCTCTGACAAAACCATTTTGGCCATCACCAACCATGTTGAATCGCCCCAATCCAAGGCATGGCAGTGGCTTCTCCAAGACCCCTCTCTCCTGGCCTTCTTAGAGGATCACATCAAGCAACGATTTGCCTTGGCCACATTCTACTTTGCTACACAAGGAGACCAATGGTCATTCAACACCCACTGGCTTGACTACACTGTCCATGAGTGTGAATGGTTCCAAAAACCTGTCTTTGCCAGAAAGGATCGCATTAACAAATTTCTTCCGGGTTTTTTGACCAATTTCTTTCCTTCCGCGGTACCACCAAGATGCAACGTTCACGGTCTCGTCCAGCAGCTGTGGCTGGACCAGAATAATCTTGCAGGCCAAATCCCAGAGGAGCTCTTCTTGTTGACGCACCTCCAAACTGTTTCCATGGCTTTGAACAAACTACAAGGTCCCATTTCTACCAAGGTGGGCAAGCTCACGGTACTTGAGGGTCTCTCCATCGCAGATCTAGAGGATTCCGGAACAATTCCTTCTGAGATTGGTGTGTTGACCAGTCTCAGATTTCTCAGCCTCGATCGGAATAACCATCAAGGATCCATTCCCAGTGAATTGTGGAGGTTGACCAACCTCGACACACTGGGCATGACCACCCATCCACAGCTCCAGGGGGTGCTTCCCACCGAAATTGGCCATTTCACCAACCTGCGATGGCTCATCATGGACAATTGTGATTACTCTGGTACGTGTTTGGTCTGCTTTGTCATTGGTGCCGATCCATATCTTGCAACGTTTCTATCATGCCTTATTCCCGGTCCCATATCTAGGAACCATCCCTACGGAAATTGGTCTAGCCACCACTCTGGAATGGCTTGTACTACTCGAGAATCAATTTTCTGGAACTCTTCCAAGCGAACTCGGAAATCTTCCCAACCTTGTTGTTTTCAGTGTTGCAGGAGACTTCATGGAAGGAACACTTCCCACAGAGCTAGGACTACTGACGACACTGACCTTGCTCCGGTTCACTGAGAATCAATTCAGCGGAACAGTCCCAAGTGAATTTGGACTGTTGACGGAACTCAACATTACGCTCAGTTTCAAGAACAATGGGTTTCTCACGGGAACCATCCCATCGGAGCTGGGGCTCCTTTCCAACTTGTATGAGCTCGAATTCCAAGGAAATAAATTTTCTGGTCCCATCGCCAGCGAGCTTGGCCAGCTCTCCTTGTTGGGCCACCTCACATTGGCCAACAATTCGTTTTCCAGCACCGTGCCTCTTGATTTGTCAGCTCTAGGTGATTCCCTCTATGCCTTGACCATGGAAGGAAACCCCATGCTGCAGGGGACTATTCCCAAAGCAGTGTGCAATTTGAGCAGCACCTGTGTGGGCAATGCAAGGCATGTCTGCGAAGGGGGGGGCTTGTCATTTGACTGCACAAACCTTTTGTGTGGTTGTGGCTGTGATTGCGAAGTAAGATAGCACTGGCAGCAACATGTCAACCCCTTTGGCCCGTGTGTTGGCCCTCAATTTGTCGTCCCTGATCCCACAGAACCGAGTCCCAAATTCCCCGTCTTCTTTGCCGAAGCCTGCCCCCCTCCTGCAGGGTTCCATAGATGTATACCTTCCTACCTAAACCCCCCTCCTTTAGCTCCAGCTACTGGCAGCAAGTGCGGCCAGTTATGTTCTGTGGTATCGTCATCAGGTCCGAGCTTCAGCTCGAGGGGATCCATGTACAACTCTAGGCGCCTCTCGCATAACATTGAACGTGAGCAAAAGACTGAGAGCTTGGAGGCTCAGCGTCTTCAATAATTGAAGTTGGCTTTGATCATGACGGGTGTCAAACCAGAATCAAACTTTTTGCAATTGGAAGTTGGCATTGTCAATCATGTGCTGTTTGCTGCCGAGAGATCTTTGTGCAGGGATGTTGTGCAAGAAATGCGGCTCTGTGTTTTCTGAGTGTTCGTTCCTCCGCCGCTGATTGCATCCAAAACCCCGGAAACTAAAAACTCCCACCGACATCTCGGGTGGACTCGACTCTTCCGTTTTAAATTATTGTAAACTGACACGGACTGGGTGGACATGATCTCGACCTGTTGCTGGTGCGGCACTCGCGAAGACCGTGTCACACTGGTTGGCCGACAATGATGACAACAATTCCACGCTGGAGACCAACGAGGAACAACTACAATGACATGAAAAGGGCGCTGCTACGGTACCGGTACGGTACCTTCTCCACCGAAACCACGCTTCGCTCGAGTCATCCGTCGACAACAAGAAAGGACCCTACAAATCACGTTCGGTTGTTTCCGACTCCTGCACATTTTATTTCAGTCACTGCCGACAGCGACCCAGCATGCATTCGTCACAAATACAAGAGCGACGAGGTCCCGCGACCGTCACAAAAAGCAGGACAAATGCCACTCGGCCCGCCGACAAAGTGCACGACAAACTGCCTTCAGCGACTACATTGGCACGCACAAAATCCATAATCAACGGCAACATGGTCTCGTCGACCGTATACTACTCTTCCAAAATCACGCTACGGGTCGTTTCCTCCTTTTCAGCCAATGACACAATGACCCTCGTCACCGACAAGAACAACAACAATTTTGACTGCGTCAACGCTAATATTTACTACTGCTACAATTCTTGCACCAGCCAACACTGACCATGACGACGAAGGCACCAAAACCGAGCTTGGAATGGCTCGCAAGTCTACTCTGCAAGCCGGTTGAAAGACGAGCCATCGGACGACGAGTACGGGGACACTCCTCCAGTTGATGCAACACGGATCATATCAACCATGCCAGCGCTCGGTCTCATTGACGATGACCGCGGAAAGCCGACAATTACCACCTCCTCGCACGATACCCTAAAATCTCACTGGCCAGCTGTGTGCCGTCATCATTTGCAGAGTTAAGCCAACCCAACCCTTTGAAGATGATATGCATGTACAGACAAGCGTAGATCCTGGTAAGCTCACGCCCAATCCACCAAAGCTACTACCAACCGTGGATCGACAACTTCCCTCTCCACGGAATCCCATTCCTTTGGTCGTCAATGCCTACTATGTACAAGTCACCGTTACTCTCCAGGTGCCGACACATGCACCAAATCACCCTCGCCCTTGGTTGCCGACCGCGTCAAAGAGCCAACTTCCAATCATGAAGGAGAAGCGACACTTGACTCATCGAGGTCCCCATCCTCATCTTAGCTATCTCTAATCCATAGTAACTCCCACTCATCCAGATCCCGCTATGATTGCCAACATCATGAACAACCAACGGTATTCTCAGATCTTGGCTGCCTGTCATCCATGTGTCCGGTATGTCGTCTACCCTTGAAGATGCCATCCAAAAGAGGGGAGATCCGGACAAGCTTATATCCGACTTACACCGCCGATGCCACTCTTCTGCATGGCCAACTCTGCGCCGTCTTCCAACATCTACAACCAGCCATCTTTGGTCGTTGCCGATGTATACACGGAGCCCATTATTTTGGTTGCCAATGACGCCTACAATGCCACTATTATTTGGGTCACCAACGACGCCTACAGCCACACAGTCAACGCCAAGCATGACAGCGCTGCGGTCACGTACACGCTGCTACTATTCCTCCAAAGCCACGGTCAGTGCCCACCGTGCTCGAAATTGCCTACGAGGAGACACCTACGACCACTGACTGTGCCGCCTATTTGTTCAAAGCACAGCGGACAACAACAATAATACTACAACATGCAGTTCCCGACTGATGGCTCCGACATCTCCTTGATCAGCCATGACGGAGAACCAATACCTGTCCCCTCGACAGAACCCATCATTGATCCTGTCAACGAAAGCCTCCACGCTCCAGTCAATGCATGCCCATCGCCGTCAAAACGAATATCCTTGTCATAGCCGACAAAGCGACAACCACCACCATGGAGTCCTCTTTGATTGACGACGAAGCCTATAACACTCTTTTGGTACCACTCACCGACCGTGGAAAGAAGACAATGGTTTAGGCTCGGTCTCCAGTACAGGCAACGCCATTGCCGCCGAGAAGTTCGTGGCCACGATTTTGTGGACAGGTGGGTGCAATCCGGTGCATTTTTCACTGTCGAATGTAATCGTTGATTTCATAAGGCAGCAGCGTTGCGGTTTAATACCGGTATGTCGTTGGATATCAGCTACAACGTCGACAGCCAAAACAGGTACCGTAGCCACCGCTACAGGACCACCGATTCAAATGACGTGAGTTTCCGGCCTGGATGGCAAGTTGTCATTGTCTTGGTCGTCATAGTCAGTTTCGGAGGTGCTGCTTGCGGTTGGGGTACTGTCAATGTTGGTGTTTGCCCTGTTAACCACATTAAGCATGCAATTCTGGATGGTGCCTTTGTAATACCGGAGATGTGAATGGCCGGGATGACTTGTGCAAGATGACCACTCACTACCTCCAACCTGAAAGGGTCGTGTCCTCAAAGCACCCCTCTACATATATAGATGTTGATGCCTTTGTCCGGCTAAAGATGACTGAGGTACAATAAAACAATGTGTTGTTGTTTACCTATAGAGATTATTTATAACAGAATCACAGAGCTGTAGAATTGGCGATATCAAAAGATCCATCTGCTCCAACCAAAACGTCAATGGTGATTTGAAAGAAGGCCTCCCCAGCTACCAAAGAATACAACACTGTTTGGTTGGTGGCTGTCAGAGTAATCCACCCAGGGATGTTGACACCATCACCCCAACTGTCAGATACAACCAGTCTGTAGGCTTTGTCAATGTTCACAGGGAAGAGAGAGGAGTAAAGATACTTTGGATTCGCCAATGGACCACTGGATTCCAATGTGCCCCAAACACCAGTCACATTGGTTCCCTTCTGCCAAACCCATGATGTTTCTTCTGGATCTTTATCAGTTTGAATATTCAGCATGACAGCAAGACCTGCAGTTGGAAACCGTCCAGGCCAACCAGGTGGAGCTTTGAGGTCAGCACAGGTGGCAACAGGAGGAGCTTCATTTAGGGAGCAATCACAATTGGGAAAAGAGCATAGATGCTCTGGCACACTTCCTGAGAACTGATTCCCATATAGACTCAACCCCATAGATGCATTCAGCTGGATAGGAAGGGTTCCTGTCAGGTTATTGTTCTGAAGACCCAGCCATGTCAGTGATGTCATCATGCCAACTTCTGTTGGGATTGTTCCGGTAAACTGATTGTCATCAAGGTGAAGCTCCGACAACGATGTCAGAAGCCAAAGCTCCATAGGCACCCGACCAGTGAACTGGTTGCCATTCAACCACAGCTCAGTCAAAGCAGTAAATGCCTTGAACTCAGAAGGAACTCGACCTGTCAACAAATTATCAGAAAGGTCAAGCCGGTACAATGAGGTCAGGAGCCCAAGCTTGGAAGGAATTTCACCTGTCAACCGATTATCAGAAAGGTCAAGCCGGTACAGTGAGGTCAGGAATGCAAGCTCCGAAGGAATTTGACTGGTCAACCGATTCTCAGAAAGGACAAGCCAGTATAATGAGGTCAAGAACCCAAGCTCAGGAGGAATTTTACCGGTCAACTGATTGCCATTTAGTTGGAGTGATGTTAATGAGGTCATGTACCCAAGTTCAGAAGGAATTGGACTGCTCAGCTGATTGAAAGGAATCTCAAGATATTCCAATGAGGTCAAGAGCCCTAGCTCCTTGGGAACTGGGCCAGTGAAGTGGTTGTCATTCAGAAACAGCCAACTCAAACCAGTAAATGCTCCAAACTCAGAAGGAATAGGACCGGCAAACTGATTGTCATCAAGGACAAGTCTCTGCAATAGGGTCAGTTGACCAAGCTCCGAAGGGACTCGACCAGTGAGCAAATTTCGATCCAACTCAAGCCAAGTCAAACCAGGCAACTTTCCAAGCTCGGAAGGGATTCGACCGGTGAGCTGATTTTGATTCAACTCTAAAGAAGTCAAATCAGTCAACTTTCCAAGCTCAGAAGGAATTCGACCGGTGAACGTATTAGTATCAAGACTTAGCATGTCCAACGAAGTCAGGAGCCAAAGTTCAGAAGGCAGTGGACCTGTCAACTGATTGTCATTCAGCCAAAGCTTTTTCAATGAGGTCAGGAGCCAAAGTTCGGAAGAAACTGGACCCGTCAACTGATTTTCTTGAAGCCAAAGATCAGTCAATGAGTTCAGGAGCCCAAGCTCGGAAGGCCATGGACCGGTCAATTGATTGTGGAAAAGCCAAAGTACTTCCAATGAGGTCAGGAGCCCGAGCTCAGAAGGAATTTGACCTGTCAACCGATTTCCATACAATTCAAGCTGGGTCAATGAAGTCAATTGTGAAAGCTCGGAGGGAATTTGGCCCGAAAACTGATTAGCTCCCAGGTCAATGTGGGACAATCCAGTCATCTCAGATAAATCTGTCGGTAACAGAGATGAAAGAGGTCCAGCAATGTCATTCATCCAAAAGTCTACAAGAGACAAGGAAGTCAAGAGTGCAATCTCAGGTGGCAAAAATGGTGAAAAACCAGAAAGCTGGAGGCCTTGAAGAAATAGAGTGGTGTACTCCCCATTATCATTGCATGGAGATTCTGGGGATAAATGCTGATGGTAGGTTCCATCCCACGCTACAAAGAAACCAAACCCACTTGAGAACCAGAGGCACTCTTCCACCATGTCATCCATCCATCCGTGGCCCTTTATTAAAGAATTCCAATTGTCTCCCTCAAAGGCATAGAAAAAAGTAGCTAGGGCAAACAGCTGTGTCTTTCTCCATTCTGGCAAGTGTGTGATGTTTTGGTGGTTGGCTAGCCAGTTCCATGCTCTCCACTGTGGAGTCTCACTGCCTTTGTTGATGCTGACCAAAGTGTAGTCAGGGAGACTATCCAAGAGCAAGTCTAGAGTTCCAGTGGGGGCAGAGGATGGTACATCTGATGGTTCCATGGATCCATAAACTGATGGAGCTTCAGTCGACTTGAGGACAACCACATCCGGATCCTTGTTCTTTTGGGTGCTTACCACGAATCCCACAACAATGGCAACAACCAGCAACAACCAAAGAACTACTGCAAAGAAAGTTTTCTGTTGCTGCTTCCTTTGGAGTGTACGCTGCTGGGTGGCTTCGAGATCAACCGGATTGGCATGCATCAATTCGGCTGTATTATCCTCTACGATATTTGCCTGTACCAAGCCTTGATTTGTTGATATCTGTGCTGCAGTACCAACACTGGATCTTCCAGGACCATCGCCATCAATGCCCGAATTAGCACCAACAAGGCCATAGTTCAAGTTGGGGTTTCGTTGCATGTGTTGTCCAGGTGCACCAAGGAACGCACCCGGCCGAGATTGTGGACGCATCTGGGTTCTTGTTTGGTGCAAGGCAGGTTGTGGGGCAGCCTCTACTACTGCGGGGGAGTCTACCATATTTCCTGGTACACTACCTTGTTGTTCCATCATCACAAGAGCAGCTTTTTGTGCGTTGGCATCATTTGTGTTGGCATTCACTGCAACAATTTTCCCCATTTTGGCGGCTTCCTGGATTTCTGTGCCTATTTGCAAGACGTTGTTCCCGTCAGTAGTGTTTGGTTTTCCTTTATTATGGAGGTCTTCTTTGGCATTGAGACGTTCGGAGACTGCCGAATTTGCCCTGTCAGCCACAATATCCATGATTTCTGCTTCTCTGGACTCTAAATCCATTTTGGCAGCTTCATTGATATCTGCAGCTAATAGATGCATGCGGAGGTGGTTGGTAGTACCAGTAGTGTTTGGTGTTTCTTGGCAGAGATCTTCTTTGGCACTATTGAGATATTCTGCGGTAGCTACCAAACTGGCCGCACCAGGCATACTGGTCTGTTCTTCCTTTGGTGGTTGTTGGGTAGTAGTGGCTTGGTGTTGCTTAATTACATCGTTCCAAGAATCTCTGGTCATGCTGGCAGTTTCTTGATCCCTTTTGCGCTGTGCGGCATCCAAAGCAGGCCGCTTAGTAAGAATATCCAAAATAAAAGTGTCCATTTCTTCTTCTGCTTTGTAGTAGAGATCATCGGATTCTGTGTTGTTACGAACAGATGATTCAGCTTGGAATTGTGCGGTTTCGGCTTCTGCTCCCTCCAAGAGAGGAACACCTCGTGGAACATCGAGTGCGTCTTCTTGTTGTCGGCCTTCCCCGTCAGCGCTGCCAGGAGATTCCTTCTTCTTCTTGTTACTACTAGTAACAACCTCTCCTTCTTTCATGGTGATCTAATTGCTAGATAGATACTAGCAGGCAGGAAGATATAGGTAGGTAGGTAGGTAGGTAGGTACCGGTAGCTAGATTGATTGACCGAGTTCCCTTCTCTGTTTCTCTGTTGGTGTCTGGGGTACGGCTCCGTCAAGGGATAGTCATAGAGGGGAACAACCTTTAAAATTTGTTAGACTTTCGTGTGGGGCATGGGAGATGGCAGATGGCAGTGTGCCCGTACGGTGGCTCTACTAGCTAGGGTAGCTAGCTACTAGCCAGCTACGAGCTGTTTGACATCCCACGTGGTCATGCATTGACGCGGGAAATGACCAAAAGATTTTCGGTTCAGTTCAGGTTTCCGAGCGACACCAGGTCTTGCTTTGCGCCCGGCTCCAGATCTTTCCTCGCTCTTTCGACGCAACACAGCCAACCCCAGTCAGTAGAAGGAGCATCACCAACAGGACAAAAGACGACAACCATCACGACAGTGTGCGGATCTCTGAGCTGTTGTTGACTGTCTACTCTGATAAGGCTCTAATCGGTTCAAGACGAAACATTCTACCCTTTTTCTTCTTCCCGGCCCATTTGTGTCTTTTCGTGAATCTTCCTTGCGCATCAGCTGACTGACGGCATAGTGGTACGGTACCACGAAAGAAAGATAATCCCTGAGCTGGCGGGACGGGAGAGAGAGAGGCACAAGGCGTTGATTGGATTGATTGATTCCCTCTGATCAGTATCCTTCTGCTTGGGTTGGGTATCAGGTATACCTAACTAATACCTATACGTCAGATTAGCAAGACTCAGCCATCACTGCTTACTCGGATACCCTTAAAAAGATAACACCATGACAGCCGACAATACTAAAAAGGGCATTTATACACCAGGCACGGTTGTGGAAACCATGTTTGGTGTGGGAGTGGTGGTATCTCATCGAGGCAAGATTGGAGCAGAAGAAGCAAAAGAAGGAGATCAGGAGGATGTGCCACCCATGGTAGAAGTACGACTCTGGCGAGCCCCGGGACATTCCATTGGGACGGCTGCCACGGCGTTTCTCCAACCCAATATGGTACGTTCTATCTTATCAAGAATAATAATTGTGCACAAAAACAAAGAGAAAAGGAGACTGTCAGTCAGTTTTGATGAAGGGTATCTCATGCCATGTTTGTTTTTCTTTCTTTCTTGCTTTCTTTCTTGAATTGGTTCCTTCCTTACTCGATGAATATGAATATGGATGAATAGATCAAAAAACAACTTCCCGTAGCTCCTGGAATGACCACAACCACCATTGAAGATATCCCCAAAAAGGTATTAGTGCATTGCTACAATCCATCCCAAGAAAAGTATTTGGTGTCGTACGCCGATGACGAAGATGCCGCCGCTGTCGCTGCCATTCTACCCCATTTGGCACGGCTCATGGAAGATCAAGACGACGACGACGATGAATTCTTTGATGCCGAAGAAGACAATGATAATGATGACAACGATGATGAACCCCTCCCGGAAAAGAAACCCACCGTATTGCTTTCCTACAGTGTGGCACAATTACAACCCACCAAGGGATCCAAATTTTATCCCCTTCTCTTGGAACTCATGAGTCGGGGCGATCGTGCCGTTGCCCAAGCCGGGGGATTGTGGATGCAAAACAAGGACAAGATTCAAGATGCCGCACTCAAATTGGCCGAAACGGGTGAAAAACTGGGAGAAGAATTACAAACCAAAGCCAAAGAAGTCATTGCCGAAACGCCCTTGCAACAAATTGCTACGACGAATATAGAACAAGGAACGGCCGATGCCACCACGGCAGCGGAAACGGCCGTGGAAACCCTCAAGACCAATATTCAAGAACGAACACCGTCTCAAGAACAAGTCGAAAAAGTCATGACCATGCTCAAGGACGAAGATTTCACTGTCTTGTTGGAAAATGGAAAACAACGATTGGAACAACTCGTCCAAGCGGATATCCCACATGCCACCGAAGAAGCGTTGTCGAATTTGGGAATTACCTGGAATACAGAAACCAGTGGTGCCCGGAGGGAACAGTTGGAAGCGACACAACAAAAAGCATTGGAAGCGGTCGATGATTTGTTGGCATCGGTCCAACAAGCGGCCGAACAGCAGGGGATTGATCTAGGAAAAGACAAGTTATCGCTCAAAGGACTCAATTTGAAAGAACTCGAAGCGCAGTTTCAAGAATTGCACCTCGAGGAAAAGTTTCAAGTCATGTTTGATAACTTTGTCGAAGCCAGTAAGAGTGATCGCCATCTTTCCAGTATCATGGAACATGTCTCGTCACACACTACCGAATGGCAACAAATGACGGGACGATTATTATCCACCAAATCGGGCAGTCTCTTTTTGGAAGGTGCCAGTCGCATCCAAGCGCGTGCGGGATTGATTCTTAGCGGGGGCCAATTTGGTCAAACGGTGGACTTGCAGGAATGGACCCAATCCATGACGACCAAATTCACTAAAGCATTTACCGAAGGAGATGCTGCTGTGGCGCGGTTAAAGAGTATCGAATTGGGAGATGCCGTGCGACATCGATTGGTTGCAGCCATTGAAATTCGGAGTGATTCCCTTGGTGGTTTGGATGGTATCATTGCACGAGCGCTAGGAACCATTGAAACGCAGACAAAGAAAACGGCCAAGACACTCCAAAAACGCATCACCAAAGACAATATTTCCAAACTATTGTCCAACCTGCAAACGTCCGCCGATGGCAAACGAAAGGAAGCTCATGAAACACTCATCTCGGTACTGTCACGCAAATCCGTGTATCGTGATATTGCCTTGTTGAAATTAGAGCGAACCTTTTGTGATTTGGAGGAACAATTCTTTGGTGCTGATTGGAACAGCGAAGATGCCTGGTCTGCCGAGGATCTGGCCAAATTGGCTCGTGGAGAAGGAGGAACGGCCAACCTATTTGAACCCATTGCCAAACGGGCCAAACAAGAAATCGACAAACAACTCGACCATGCCGAGGAAACTGTCCGCAAGCAACAAGAAGCAAAGGGCGGCAATGACAAAAATGCTGAACTCGTACTGGAGGCCTTGTCTCGAGTTCGTAAGATCATGTCGGGCGAATTGACCATGAATGCCATTGTGGAGGATGTCGTGACGCTGCTCAACGACGACAAGATTGTAGCTCAGGGTGAAAACCTGATCCAGCGAGGAGAACGGTTCTTGGACGCCATTGAAGGTGTCGCAAACATGGACAATATCAATGACCCAACCAACCGGCTCGTCAGCGATGCCATGAAAGTGGCCGAAAAGGCAGGAATCACAAAGGAATCCATAATGAAAGATCTCGAAAAGATCAATGTCGATGAAGTGTTGGACACGGCTCAAGGAGCTGTCACAGATGAAAAGAAACGCCTGCTGCTGTTGTCACAAGCCACGGATGCCGCTTTGGATTTCTTCCTGAAAATTTTGCCTTCCATGCCGGTGCCGCCTTTTGAAGGCGTCAAGGACGGCCTGGTTTACCACTTGTCCAATCTTTCCATGGAAGGATTCAAGGTGAAGAAGGAGAACATCGTGGTGGAAATTGCTGGCATGAGAGCGACAACTGATAAACGAAAGAGCGTCAAAAGCCTGGAGGCGGCGAAAAAGGCGGTGAGAGATATGCCAAAGGAAGCTGCAGCCGGTACCCCCATCGAGGCGCCGGACTCGGGGTCTTCTTTGCTCCAGGAAGAAAGTAACGACGAAGAAGAGTTCCAAGAAGCCGACCTGGACATCACCACCACATCTGAAATTGGGCATATCAAGGCTACAGAACTCCTGATCATCGATATTAGCGATGTTGCCGCTGTCATGGACGGCGCTACTTGGAATTTTGAACAGACGTACTTTCCCTATTTGAAGGGGAAGGGAATCTCAGATGTTCGAATGGTCAATGGTTGTGTGCGGCTGCAGTTTGAGCTCCGAAAACGAAAGCGAAAGATTCAAGTAGAGAAAGTTGCTGGAGAGGAAGGCGAGACAGAGGAGAAAGAAATCTGGGAACCTGTTTTATGCCTGCACGATCGAAGTTGCACCATTGGTGAAGTCTTCGTTTCCCTTCAAGGGGAGGGGCGAGTGGCTTGGCTTCTCAACAAACTGGCGGATTTCTTCAAAGGACCGGTCGGAACCTACGTGGCACGACAGATTGTCGCTGTCTTGAGCAACAAAAGTGGGGTCATCTTGGACAAGCTGAACAATGTCTTGTCTCCTTATTGGGACCTGATCCTGTCGACTGCTGGGCTGAAGATGGTAAGAACGTGGAATGCTTTGCAGAGCTGTGTTGCCTTGCCGTGCGCATTGGTCCACTCAACTTTATGCGCTGCATACACTTTTCAGGATGATCTTGTGGAAGCTGATCACCGCGTAGTTACCGCCGCGGATGCGGAGGACAACGAAAATACAGTCGAGTTGGTATGGAGAGAACGGTTGCCATTGGGTCTGAACCTCTTGCTCAATGACGAAAGTGGCCAAGTGAAGGTAGTGGATCTTCCACGAGGAAGCCAGGCAAGGAAGGTATGCGAAGCACGAATGTTGGATCCCGAGGTATTCAAAGGTGCCACGATCGTGGCCGTCAATGGTTGCCGCTTCTTTGAGCCTGAGGAGGTTTATGATGCCTTGCGGGATCCAATCCGCCCAAAGACTGTTTTGTTCGAGCTGGCGGAGTCCGAAGAAGCGGAGAGGGTTCAAGAGTTTGTTGCTGATGCAATGAATGAGAAGGAGCGAAAGATCAAGGAAGCAGCAACCGGAACAACGCCTCTAAAGGAACAATCCACCAACGGAGAAACAACGAAAAGGAAGTTTGCTACTCACACGTACGAGATCACTCAACCTGGACATCTAGGAATTGAGTTTGGTGAAGCACCCGACAATTTCGGATTGGTCGTTACGGGTTTTGTCCCTGCCGAAGACGGCACCGCCCAAGCAGCTGAATCCAGTGGAAAGATCCATAGACACGACCTACTGACACACATCAATGACAAGCTAGTAATTGGAGAGAATGGCACGGGTCGAGAGAAGGCCTTCGAAATCTTGCAATCTGAAGGCAGTTCCCGACCCCTAACACTTACCTTTTCGCCTCCGTACTTGATACGGCAAGTTTTCGAAGCCTCGGCAACCGACAAGGAAGCCAACCTCGGCGGCCCAACAGAACTTTGTCTGGAAGAAGTGAGAGACGAAAAAACTGGGAAAGGCAAGAGGATTGTTTTGTCAGGCTTCAATGACGCTGGCGGTATTGCCGAGACCAGTGGGATTTTGATTGGTGACTACCTAATCTTTATCAACGGGACGTCAGTGGGCGCTGGGAGTCGATGGCTTGGGGAGGGGCCTGCTCCGACCTTGGAGGAAGTCTATGGAATCTTGCGAGACCCGCAAAACTATCCCATGGGCCTTACCTTTGCTCGACCCAGGCAGACCGAAAACGACGACAAGAGCTGGTCCTTTTTGGGCAACAACAAGCAAACGCCCCAAAAGGACGAAAAAAACCTGTTCAACGACGAGGATTCGGAAACCGTGGCTGTTTCCACAGAACGACTCGAGCTGCTAGGATGCGTTTTTGATGTTGCGGAAGGCACCAACGATATTGTTGTGACGGATTTCTACGCTGTTTCAGGATACTTTCAGAATACTCTTTCTCCTGTTGCACGAAGAGATGGATCCTCTCAAATTGTCAAGCTGGCGGTGGAGTCCATCGATGGCCAGTTTGTTCCGACGTACGCCTCGAAGGATATGGTTCTAAATGCCATCAAGCGAAGCTGGTCGAAAGAACGACGAGTAGAAGTGCTGTTCAGCGACGACGCGTGCAAGCAATGGGTTCACAGCCTGATGGCCACACCAGAAACCTCGGACCAATAATTGGTATGGTAAAACCGACTCTAGAAGCTACCGATCGTTTTGATCAGATGCCCCTTAGAAGCTACAGCACCCCCGCTTTCTTCGTTCTCGTTTTCAGCGTATGCAGTCTATTGGGCACACCTGGTCCCTATGTACCGTATCACCTGGTCCCTATGTACCGTATCAGTACGTTGTCCACTCGCTAGCTATTTTAAAATAGTAGTCTATCAACGGGAGAGGATTATGCGGTTTGTCCCTCACTTCTCTGACTCTTCCTGCTGCACATCCCTTCAGGGCCGCTACACCCACTCCAACATTCAAAACTGGTCCCGACGAGTCCCGGGTCAAGACATCTTTGCACTCGACAAACTCTTCCTCCCAGTCCATTTTAACCAGAGCCACTGGGTGGTGATCGTTGCCTTCATGCGCGAAAAATGCATTCAGGCCTTCGATTTTGCAGGAGCTACCAACACACGGTTTCTCCAAGCTACCCTTCAATATCTCTCTGATGCGCACCTAAGAGTGCACCATTGCCCCCTCCCTGCTCGAGACTGGTTGCTTTGCAAATCCACCCCTGCAACTCCCACACAACTCAACGGCTACACTGCCGCGTCTTCACCAGGCTGTGCTTTCCTACGCAATGACACTCCAACCTTTTCTCAAGAGGACATGACCCAGTACCGCCAATGGATTACTCTGTCCCTTCTTGAAGGACAACTGCCCATCGGGTAGCCTATTTCATTTGCTCATATCAACTCACACCTGTCTTTCACTCTTGGCTCCCAGGACCGACTGGGAGGGCACTATGAGCTTCTTTGTCAACTAAGGAGAGGAGCCATAGAGGAGTGCAGTAGTAACTTATTCTAACCTGGCAATTCCTAGGTGCTGGGTGGCTAGGGTGGGCCCTGCTGCTACAGCATCCCGTGTTCCCCGACCCTCACAGCACCGGTGGAGATTAACAAACAAACTCTCCTTGCTCCATTCCCCCCATACAAGTAGTTCCCTGTAACTGCATAGTAACTCACAAGCATAGCTAGCTATAGCCAGCTGAAGAGATCAAGAAAGAAGATTCCCAGAAACTGATTGAAAGTTACAATGAAGAAGTTGTGAGAGTTCTCCAACAGCCGCACCTTCGCAAGTACCAAGTTCAAGTCCAAGTGGTGGCCCAACCGGTGACCCTACAAAATCACCAACAGCTTCGCCCTCTACTACACCAAGTGCTGATCCGACAGGCATTCCAACAGCCACACCTTCCCAAGTACCAAGTTCAAGTCCAAGTAACGGCCCAACTAGCGTCCCTACAAGATCGCCAACAATGATCCCAAGCTCGAGTCCCAGTTCTACACCAACCAATGTCCCTACCAAACGAGGGGACACACCAAAACCGTCAAGCGCTCCGATTCCAGCGCCACCAAACCGAAGCTTTTCAACTCCAAGCCCCACAAGTTCCCCAACTTCTCTCCCAAGCTGGAGTCCTAGTTCTGGACCGACAAGTGTCCCTACCAAACCAGGGGACACACCAAAACCAACAAGAGCTCCCATACCAAATAGAAGTTTTCCAACTCCAGTACCCCCCCCTGGTCAACTCAAGCCTAAGTGCACTGACAACTTTGGAACAATTTGGGGTGACGTTCATGTGATAACGTTCGATGGGCTCAAGTATGACTGCCAGGGAGAGGGAGAGTTCCAAATTCTCACTTCACTCAACGAGGGATCTGGTTTTGAAATCCAAGGTAGATTTGCCCGATTCCATGCCACCAGGCGGATCACGGTTACTCGTGGAATTGTGATTTCGACAGGAGTCTCGGGGACACCAACTGTTCAGCTTGATCTACCAGCTCACTACGACCACAAATGTGATGTTGACATGTATGTTGACAAGATGTACCGTCACATCCATGAAGGCACTGGCTTCAACACTGTCAATGTTACCAGAGAAGCATGGAACAAATACTCAGTAGTGTATCCATGGACTGGAATTAACTTGGAAATTCAAGTACAAAAATCCAGCAAGTTCGGATGCTTCTTCAATATCAAGATCTGCATCCCCGATGAAATCCGCAAGTCGGAAAGCCTAGTTGGCCTTCTTGGATCCCCCAATGCCAACAGGTTTGATGACTGGATGAAATCGGACGGAACGGTTCTACCATTTCCAAGCACCAAGAAGACATCAAGGTTCCAAACCGCCTATGATTACTGTGTTGACAACTGGTGCATCTACCATGAAGAAGAGTCTTTGTTTACTTACAACAAGTCACAAGAGGAGAGCTTTGACTTGTACTATAACTGTGGTGACAAGTACAAGAAAGACATCCAGAGCTGCGTCGAAAAACCTCCCAAGAAATTGATTGATATCTGCAATGCTAATGAGGAATGTCTGATTGATGGATGTGGAGGTGACGAGCATGATGCTGAAACCTCGCTGGTAGTCGAAGATACGTTTGCGGAAACAAAGTGCGCCAAGGAAATTTTCTTTGAAGATTTTAGCGGTGACTTTGACGACTCCTGGGGACGAGCTGCAGAAACAGGTGGCACTAGGTACATTGGTCCCATCGGAAAATCTGCGCCAAAGATTCATAAAGAATTCGATGTCCCCGAAAATGCAGAGAGTTTGACCGTCGAGTTCTTGTTCTATGAATTTGATGATTGGAATGGCGAAAGGGGAGACAAAGTGTTTGCCAGTGTTGGAGACGTCCGCGTGGACCTGGAAAGATTTGAACAGATGGACCCCGTTAACAACCCCAACAATGAACAAAGTGGCAAGTTTGAAGACGTCGCCTGGTCTCGCTTTAGCATGACCAAGTCAGAGGATACAGTGCTCGGTGGCAGGTGAGTAAAGAAAATTTCGTGTCAACGTCCAGCGCAACGGTGATGGTCGCTCACATATCGCATTGCTTTTTAGAGAATCTGAACAAGTCCACAAGGTCCGGATGAGAATTCCTCCAAATCAGTATGCTGACGGAATGCTTGCTTTCGAGTTTGAAGTAGAAATGAGCGTCAGTATGGACAAGGCTAGCGGAGGTCTAGGTAACTTCCGAATTGTTGCACACTATCCGTGTGACGGCGACCCGGAAGAAAAAGATTTCAATACCACGGAATTATCTCTTCCACTGAAAGGTGCTGGTTACAAAGGATCCTGGAAAGGTGATCCACACATCATGACGTTCGACGGGCTCAAGTATGATTGCCAGGGCACTGGCGAATTTGTAATTATGAAGTCCGAAACCAGGCCTGATTTTGAAATCCAAGGCCGATTTGTAAAGTTTGTTCCAGAGAGGAAACCCACTGTGACAAAGTCAGTAGTCATCCAAGCTGGAAGCCAAGTCCCAAGAATTCAGGTCAATGTTCCTTCTTCGGCGAAGAATGGCCTTTGCACGCCTTATGCGTATTTGAATAAAGTGAGACGTGACATTGCTGGACTTGATGAAGGACAAACGTCCTTCCAAACCGAGGTCCTTGTCTCTGGTACGAGGGAGGGTCTGGTTATCTACTTCCATGAATCCAAAATTCAAGTTACCCTGTGGGCAAGGAAGTCTTCTGTCGATGGTTGTGTTCTGGGCACTACAGTTTTCATAGTCTATGATTCACCCCTGGTTAATGACCGGTTTGTTGGCCTCCTCGGAACCCCCAATGGTGACAAGTCAGATGATTGGATGACGCAAGACTCAACCGATGTATCCATCCCTACAACCCATCGACAGCGGTTGGTTGATGCTTACGACTACTGCGTCGACAACTGGTGCATTAGGGACGAAGGTGAGACTCTCTTCACATACGATGAAGATCTGCATGAGAGCTTTGACGCTTTCGAAGACTGTGGAGCTGAGGGCGATGGCGAGACCATTGTTTACGTGGAAAAAGAACAAACAAACCCAAAAAGTGAACTATCAAAAATTTGTGGAGACGACTATGCCTGTTATGTTGATGGCTGCACTGGAACTAAAGAAGATGCCCAGAAGCTGATTGAAAGTGACAATGAAGAAGCGGACTACATGTGTGCTGAGCAAATTGAATTTGAGGATTTCGGACCCCGGCCACTACTCAGGATGCTGGGGAGTCAGTGCAGAACAGGACAATGCATTTGGAAGCCCCTTCCTGCGTTTGCACAAGAAGCAATCAGAAATCTTCAAAGACATTACCGTTTCTCAGGATGCCGATGTGGTCACCCTTGAGTTCCTCTTCTATGAGATCGATCAATGGGAACTGGACGACAAGGTGCTGGTGTATGTCAACGACATTGTTCTGGACTTTGGCGAATTCGCCAAAGTCCCAACTGCGTTGACATACACCAGCACCTTGTCGTCCAGTTCCCATTGATCGATCTCATAGAAGAGGAACTCAAGGGTGACCACATCGGCATCCTGAGAACGGTAATGTCTTTGAAGATTTCTGATTGCTTTTGTGCAAACGCAGGAAGGGGCTTCCAAATGCATTGTCCTGTTCTGCACTGATCCCCAGCATCCTGAGTAGTGGCCGGGGTCCGAAATCCTCAAATTCAATTTGCTCAGCACACATGTAGTCCGCTTCTTCATTGTCACTTTCAATCAGCTTCTGGGCATCTTCTTTAGTTCCAGTGCAGCCATCAACATAACAGGCATAGTCGTCTCCACAAATTTTTGATAGTTCACTTTTTTGGTTTGTTTGTTCTTTTTCCACGTAAACAATGGTCTCGCCATCGCCCTCAGCTCCACAGTCTTCGAAAGCGTCAAAGCTCTCATGCAGATCTTCATCGTATGTGAAGAGAGTCTCACCTGTCGTCCCTAATGCACCAGTTGTCGACGCAGTAGTCGTAAGCATCAATCAACCGCTGTCGATGGGTTGTAGGGATGGATACATCGGTTGAGTCTTGCTCATCCAATCATCTGACTTGTCACCATTGGGGGTTCCGAGGAGGCCAACAAACCGGTCATTGACCAGGGGTGAATCATAGACTATGAAAATGTAGTGCTCAGAACACAACCATCGACAGAAGACTTCCTTGCCCACAGGGACACTTGAATTTTGGATTCATGGAAGTAGATCACCGACCCTCCCTCGTACCAGAGACAACGACCTCGGTTTGGAAGGACGCTTGTCCTTCATCGAGTCCAGCAATGTCACGTTTCACTTTATTCAAATACTCATAGGGCGTACAAAGGCCGTTCTTTGCCGAAGAAGGAACGTTGACCTGAATTCTTGGGACTTTGCTTCCAGCTTGGATGACTACTGACTTTGTCACAGTGGGTTTCCTCTCTGGAACAAACTTTACAAATCGGCCTTGGATTTCAAAATCAGGCCTGGTTTCGGACTTCAAAATTACAAATTCGCCAGTGCCCTGGCAATCATACTTGAGCCCGTCGAACGTCATGATGTGTGGATCACCTTTCCAGGATCCTTTGTAACCAGCACCTTTCAGTGGAAGAGAAATTCCGTGGTATTGACATCTTTTTCTTCCGGGTCGCCGTCACACGGATAGTGTGCAACAATTCGGAAGTTATCGAGACCTCCGCTAGCCTTGTCCATACTGATGCTCATTTCTACTTCAAACTCGAAAACAAGCTTTCCGTCAGCATACTGATTTGGAGGAATTCTCATCCGGACCTTATGTTGGACACCGAGCACAGTATCCTCTAACTTGGTCATGCTAAAGGAGACCAGGCAACGTCTTCAAACTTGCCACTTTGTTCATTGTTGGGGTTGTTGATGGGGTCGATCTGTTCAAATCTTTCCAGGTCCACCCGGACGTCTCCAACACTGGCAAACACTTTGTCTCCCCGTTCGCCATTCCAATCATCAAATTCATAGAACAAGAACTCGACAGTCAAGCTTTCTGCATTTTCGGGGACATCAAATTCTTTATGAATCTTTGGCGCAGATTTCCCGATGGGACCAATGTACCTAGAGCCACCTGTTTCTGCAGCTCGTCCCCAAGAGTCGTCAAAGTCACCGCTAAAATCTTCAAAGAAAATTTCCTTGGCGCACTTTGTTTCCGCAAACGTATCTTCGACTACCAGCGAGGTTTCAGCATCATTCTCGTCACCTCCACATCCATCAATCAGGCATTCCTCATTAGCATTGCAGATATCAATCAATTTTTGGGAGGTTTTTCGACGCAGCTCTGGATGTCTTTCTTGTACTTGTCACCACAGTTATAGAAGAAGTCAAAGCTCTCCTCTTGTGACTTGTTGTAAGTAAACAAAGACTCTTCTTCATGGTAGATGCACCAGTTGTCAACACAGTAATCATAGGCGGTTTGGAACCTTGATGTCTTCTTGGTGCTTGGAAATGGTAGAACCGTTCCGTCCGATTTCATCCAGTTATCAAACCTGTTGGCATTGGGGGATCCAAGAAGGCCAACTAGGCTTTCCGACTTGCGGATTTCATCGGGGATGCAGATCTTGATATTGAAGAAGCATCCGAACTTGCTGGATTTTTGTACTTGAATTTCCAGGTTAATTCCAGTCCATGGATACACTACTGAGTATGTGTTCCATGCTTCTCTGGTAACATTGACAGTGTTGAAGCCAGTGCCTTCACGGATGTGACGGTACATCTTGTCAACATACATGTCAACATCACATTTGTGGTCGTAGTGAGCTGGTAGATCAAGCTGAACAGTTGGTGTCCCCGAGACTCCTGTATTAATCACAATGCCTCGAGTAATTGTAATGCGTCTGGTGGCATGGAATCGGGAAAATCTACCTTGGATTTCAAAATCAGATCCCTCGTTGAGCGAAGTGAGAATTTGGAACTCTCCCTCTCCCTGGCAGTCATACTTGAGCCCATCGAACGTTATCACATGAACGTCACCCCAAATTGTTCCAAAGTTGTCAGTGCACTTAGGCTTGAGTTGACCAGGGGGGGGGGGTAATGGAGTTGGAAAACTTCTATTTGGTATGGGAGCTCTTGTTGGTTTTGGTGTGTCCCCTGGTTTGGTAGGGACACTTGTCGGTCCAGAACTAGGACTCCAGCTTGGGAAAGAAGTTGGGGAACTTGTGGGGCTTGGAGTTGAAAAGCTTCTGTTTGGTGGCGCTGGAATCGGAGCGCTTGGCGGTTTTGGTGTGTCCCCTGGTTTGGTAGGGACATTGGTTGGTGTAGAACTGGGACTCGAGCTTGGGATCATTGTTGGTGATCTTGTAGGGACGCTAGTTGGGCCGTTACTTGGACTTGAACTTGGTACTTGGGAAGGTGTGGCTGTTGGAATGCCTGTCGGATCAGCACTTGGTGTAGTAGAGGGCGAAGCTGTTGGTGATTTTGTAGGGTCACCGGTTGGGCCACCACTTGGACTTGAACTTGGTACTTGCGAAGGTGCGGCTGTTGGAGAACTCTCACAACTTCTTCATTGTAACTTTCAATCAGTTTCTGGGAATCTTCTTTCTTGATCTCTTCAGCTGGCTATAGCTAGCTATGCTTGTGAGTTACTATGCAGTTACAGGGAACTACTTGTATGGGGGGAATGGAGCAAGGAGAGTTTGTTTGTTAATCTCCACCGGTGCTGTGAGGGTCGGGGAACACGGGATGCTGTAGCAGCAGGGCCCACCCTAGCCACCCAGCACCTAGGAATTGCCAGGTTAGAATAAGTTACTACTGCACTCCTCTATGGCTCCTCTCCTTAGTTGACAAAGAAGCTCATAGTGCCCTCCCAGTCGGTCCTGGGAGCCAAGAGTGAAAGACAGGTGTGAGTTGATATGAGCAAATGAAATAGGCTACCCGATGGGCAGTTGTCCTTCAAGAAGGGACAGAGTAATCCATTGGCGGTACTGGGTCATGTCCTCTTGAGAAAAGGTTGGAGTGTCATTGCGTAGGAAAGCACAGCCTGGTGAAGACGCGGCAGTGTAGCCGTTGAGTTGTGTGGAGATTGCAGGGGTGATTACAAAGGACCAATCTCGGAAGGGGAGGGCAATTGTGCACTCTTAGGTGCCATCCGAGAGATATGAAGGGTAGCTTGGAGAAACCGTGTGTTGGTAGCTCCTGCAAAATCGAAGGCCTGAATGCATTTTTCGCGCATGAAGGCAACGATCACCACCCAGTGGCTCTGGTTAAAATGGACTGGGAGGAAGAGTTTGTCGAGTGCAAAGATGTCTTGACCCGGGACTCGTCGGGACCAGTTTTGAATGTTGGAGTGGGTGTAGCGGCCCTGAAGGGATGTGCAGCAGGAAGAGTCAGAGAAGTGAGGGACAAACCGCATAATCCTCTCCCGTTGATAGACTACTATTTTAAAATAGCTAGCGAGTGGACAACGTACTGATACGGTACATAGGGACCAGGTGATACGGTACATAGGGACCAGGTGTGCCCAATAGACTGCATACGCTGAAAACGAGAACGAAGAAAGCGGGGGTGCTGTAGCTTCTAAGGGGCATCTGATCAAAACGATCGGTAGCTTCTAGAGTCGGTTTTACCATACCAATTATTGGTCCGAGGTTTCTGGTGTGGCCATCAGGCTGTGAACCCATTGCTTGCACGCGTCGTCGCTGAACAGCACTTCTACTCGTCGTTCTTTCGACCAGCTTCGCTTGATGGCATTTAGAACCATATCCTTCGAGGCGTACGTCGGAACAAACTGGCCATCGATGGACTCCACCGCCAGCTTGACAATTTGAGAGGATCCATCTCTTCGTGCAACAGGAGAAAGAGTATTCTGAAAGTATCCTGAAACAGCGTAGAAATCCGTCACAACAATATCGTTGGTGCCTTCCGCAACATCAAAAACGCATCCTAGCAGCTCGAGTCGTTCTGTGGAAACAGCCACGGTTTCCGAATCCTCGTCGTTGAACAGGTTTTTTTCGTCCTTTTGGGGCGTTTGCTTGTTGTTGCCCAAAAAGGACCAGCTCTTGTCGTCGTTTTCGGTCTGCCTGGGTCGAGCAAAGGTAAGGCCCATGGGATAGTTTTGCGGGTCTCGCAAGATTCCATAGACTTCCTCCAAGGTCGGAGCAGGCCCCTCCCCAAGCCATCGACTCCCAGCGCCCACTGACGTCCCGTTGATAAAGATTAGGTAGTCACCAATCAAAATCCCACTGGTCTCGGCAATACCGCCAGCGTCATTGAAGCCTGACAAAACAATCCTCTTGCCTTTCCCAGTTTTTTCGTCTCTCACTTCTTCCAGACAAAGTTCTGTTGGGCCGCCGAGGTTGGCTTCCTTTCGGTTGCCGAGGCTTCGAAAACTTGCCGTATCAAGTACGGAGGCGAAAAGGTAAGTGTTAGGGGTCGGGAACTGCCTTCAGATTGCAAGATTTCGAAGGCCTTCTCTCGACCCGTGCCATTCTCTCCAATTACTAGCTTGTCATTGATGTGTGTCAGTAGGTCGTGTCTATGGATCTTTCCACTGGATTCAGCTGCTTGGGCGGTGCCGTCTTCGGCAGGGACAAAACCCGTAACGACCAATCCGAAATTGTCGGGTGCTTCACCAAACTCAATTCCTAGATGTCCAGGTTGAGTGATCTCGTACGTGTGAGTAGCAAACTTCCCTTTCGTTGGTTCTCCGTTGGTGGATTGTTCCTTTAGAGGCGTTGTTCCGGTTGCTGCTTCCTTGATCTTTCGCTCCTTCTCATTCATTGCATCAGCAACAAACTCTTGAACCCTCTCCGCTTCTTCGGACTCCGCCAGCTCGAACAAAACAGTCTTTGGGCGGATTGGATCCCGCAAGGCATCATAAACCTCCTCAGGCTCAAAGAAGCGGCAACCATTGACGGCCACGATCGTGGCACCTTTGAATACCTCGGGATCCAACATTCGTGCTTCGCATACCTTCCTTGCCTGGCTTCCTCGTGGAAGATCCACTACCTTCACTTGGCCACTTTCGTCATTGAGCAAGAGGTTCAGACCCAATGGCAACCGTTCTCTCCATACCAACTCGACTGTATTTTCGTTGTCCTCCGCATCCGCGGCGGTAACTACGCGGTGATCAGCTTCCACAAGATCATCCTGAAAAGTGTATGCAGCGCATAAAGTTGAGTGGACCAATGCGCACGGCAAGGCAACACAGCTCTGCAAAGCATTCCACGTTCTTACCATCTTCAGCCCAGCAGTCGACAGGATCAGGTCCCAATAAGGAGACAAGACATTGTTCAGCTTGTCCAAGATGACCCCACTTTTGTTGCTCAAGACAGCGACAATCTGTCGTGCCACGTAGGTTCCGACCGGTCCTTTGAAGAAATCCGCCAGTTTGTTGAGAAGCCAAGCCACTCGCCCCTCCCCTTGAAGGGAAACGAAGACTTCACCAATGGTGCAACTTCGATCGTGCAGGCATAAAACAGGTTCCCAGATTTCTTTCTCCTCTGTCTCGCCTTCCTCTCCAGCAACTTTCTCTACTTGAATCTTTCGCTTTCGTTTTCGGAGCTCAAACTGCAGCCGCACACAACCATTGACCATTCGAACATCTGAGATTCCCTTCCCCTTCAAATAGGGAAAGTACGTCTGTTCAAAATTCCAAGTAGCGCCGTCCATGACAGCGGCAACATCGCTAATATCGATGATCAGAAGTTCTGTAGCCTTGATATGCCCGATTTCAGATGTGGTGGTGATGTCCAGGTCGGCTTCTTGGAACTCTTCTTCGTCATTACTTTCTTCCTGGAGCAAAGAAGACCCCGAGTCCGGCGCCTCGATGGGGGTACCGGCTGCAGCTTCCTTTGGCATATCTCTCACCGCCTTTTTCGCCGCCTCCAGGCTTTTGACGCTCTTTCGTTTATCAGTTGTCGCTCTCATGCCAGCAATTTCCACCACGATGTTCTCCTTCTTCACCTTGAATCCTTCCATGGAAAGATTGGACAAGTGGTAAACCAGGCCGTCCTTGACCCTTCAAAAGGCGGCACCGGCATGGAAGGCAAAATTTTCAGGAAGAAATCCAAAGCGGCATCCGTGGCTTGTGACAACAGCAGCAGGCGTTTCTTTTCATCTGTGACAGCTCCTTGAGCCGTGTCCAACACTTCATCGACATTGATCTTTTCGAGATCTTTCATTATGGATTCCTTTGTGATTCCTGCCTTTTCGGCCACTTTCATGGCATCGCTGACGAGCCGGTTGGTTGGGTCATTGATATTGTCCATGTTTGCGACACCTTCAATGGCGTCCAAGAACCGTTCTCCTCGCTGGATCAGGTTTTCACCCTGAGCTACAATCTTGTCGTCGTTGAGCAGCGTCACGACATCCTCCACAATGGCATTCATGGTCAATTCGCCCGACATGATCTTACGAACTCGAGACAAGGCCTCCAGACGAGTTCAGCATTTTTGTCATTCCGCCCTTTGCTTCTTGTTGCTTGCGGACAGTTTCCTCGGCATGGTCGAGTTGTTTGTCGATTTCTTGTTTGGCCCGTTTGGCAATGGGTTCAAATAGGTTGGCCGTTCCTCCTTCTCCACGAGCCAATTTGGCCAGATCCTCGGCAGACCAGGCATCTTCGCTGTTCCAATCCGCACCAAAGAATTGTTCCTCCAAATCACAAAAGGTTCGCTCTAATTTCAACAAGGCAATATCACGATACACGGATTTGCGTGACAGCACCGAGATGAGTGTTTCATGAGCTTCCTTTCGTTTGCCATCGGCGGACGTTTGTAGGTTGGACAAGAGTTTGGAAATATTGTCTTTGGTGATGCGTTTTTGGAGTGTCTTGGCCGTTTTCTTTGTCTGCGTTTCAATGGTTCCCAGCGCTCGTGCAATGATACCATCCAAACCACCAAGGGAATCACTCCGAATTTCAATGGCGCTACCAATCGATGTCGCACGGCATCTCCCAATTCGATACTCTTTAACCGCGCCACAGCAGCATCTCCTTCGGTAAATGCTTTGGTGAATTTAGTCGTCATGGATTGGGTCCATTCCTGCAAGTCCACAGTTTGACCAAATTGGCCCCCGCTAAGAATCAATCCAGCACGCGCTTGGATGCGACTGGCACCTTCCAAAAAGAGACTGCCCGATTTGGTGGACAATAATCGTCCCGTCATTTGTTGCCATTCGGTAGTGTGTGACGAGACATGTTCCATGATACTGGAAAGATGCCGATCACTCTTACTGGCTTCGACAAAGTTATCAAACATGACTTGAAACTTTTCCTCGAGGTGCAATTCTTGAAACTGCGCTTCGAGTTCTTTCAAATTGAGTCCTTTGAGCGATAACTTGTCTTTTCCTAATCAATCCCCTGCTGTTCGGCCGCTTGTTGGACCGATGCCAACAAATCATCGACCGCTTCCAATGCTTTTTGTTGTGTCGCTTCCAACTGTTCCCTCCGGGCACCACTGGTTTCTGTATTCCAGGTAATTCCCAAATTCGACAGAGCTTCTTCGGTGGCGTGTGGGATATCGGCTTGTACGAGTTGTTCCAATCGTTGTTTTCCATTTTCCAACAAGACGTGAAATCTTCGTCCTTGAGCATGGTCATGACTTTTTCGACTTGTTCTTGGACGGTGTTCGTTCTTGAATATTGTCTTGAGGGTTTCCACGGCCGTTTCCGCTGCCGTGGTGGCATCGGCCGTGCCTTGTTCTATATTCGTCGTGGCAATTTGTTGCAAGGGCGTTTCGGCAATGACTTCTTTGGCTTTGGTTTGTAATTCTTCTCCTAGTTTTTCACCCGTTTCGGCCAATTTGAGTGCGGCATCTTGAATCTTGTCCTTATTTTGCATCCACAATCCCCCGGCTTGGGCGACGGCACGATCGCCCCGACTCATGAGTTCCAAGAGAAGGGGATAGAATTTGGATCCCTTGGTGGGTTGTAATTGTGCCACACTGTACGACAGCAATACGGTGGGTTTCTTTTCCGGGAGGGGTTCCTCATCGTTGTCATCATTTCATTCTTCTTCGGCATCAAAGAATTCATCTGTCGTCGTTCTTGATCTTCCATGAGCCGTGCCAAATGGGGTAGAATGGCAGCGACAGCGGCGGCATCTTCGTCATCGGCGTACGACACCAAATACTTTTCTTGCGATGGATTGTAGCAATGCACTAATACCTTTTTGGGGATATCTTCAATGGTGGTTGTGGTCATTCCAGGAGCTACAGGAAGTTGCTTTTTGATCTATTCATCTATCATATTAGGCAAGAAGGAACATCAATGAGAAAGCAAAAAGAAAGAAAAACACAGATACATGAGATACCCTTCAAAAACTGACTGACAGTCTCCTTTATCCGTTTTTTTGTTTTTTTGCCTAACAATATATTCTTATATTAGAACGTACCATACTGGGCTGGAGAAACGCCGTGGCAGCCGTCCCAATGGAATGTCCTGGAGCCCGCCACAATCGTACTTCTACCATGGGTGGCACATCCTCCTGATCTCCTTCTTTTGCTTCTTCTGCTCCAATCTTGCCTCGATGAGATACCACCACTCCCACACCAAACATGGTTTCCACAACCGTGCCTGGTGTATAGATGCCCTTTTTAGTATTGTCGGCTGTCATGGTGTTATCTTTTTAAGGGTATCCGAGTAAGCAGTGATGGCTGAGTCTTGCTAATCTGACGTATAGGTATTAGTTAGGTATACCTGATACCCAACCCAAGAAACAGAAGGATACTGATCAGACGGAATCAATCAATCCAATCAACGCCTTGTGCCTCTCTCTCTCCCGTCCCGTCAGCTCAGGGAATATCTTTCTTTCTTGGTACCGTACCACTATGCCGTCAGTCAGCTGATGCGCAAGGAAGATTCACGAAAAGACACAAATGGGCCGGGAAGAAGAAAAAGGGTAGAATGTTTCGTCTTGAACCGATTAGAGCCTTATCAGAGTAGACAGTCAACAACAGCTCAGAGATCCGCACACTGTCGTGATGGTTGTCGTCTTTTGTCCTGTTGGTGATGCTCCTTCTACTGACTGGGGTTGGCTGTGTTGCGTCGAAAGAGCGAGGAAAGATCTGGAGCCGGGCGCAAAGCAAGACCTGGTGTCGCTCGGAAACCTGAACTGAACCGAAAATCTTTTGGTCATTTCCCGCGTCAATGCATGACCACGTGGGATGTCAAACAGTTTCGTAGCTGGCTAGCTAGCTAGTACCTGCAGTAGAGCCACCGTACGGGCACACTGCCATCTGCCATCTCCCATGCCCCACACGAAAGTCTAACAAATTTTAAAGGTTGTTCCCCTCTATGACTATCCCTTGACGGAGCCGTACCCCAGACACCAACAGAGAAACAGAGAAGGGAACTCGGTCAATCAATCTAGCTACCGGTACCTACCTACCTACCTACCTACCTATATCTTCCTGCCTGCTAGTATCTATCTAGCAATTAGATCACCATGAAAGAAGGAGAGGTTGTTACTAGTAGTAACAAGAAGAAGAGGAATCTCCTGGCAGCGCTGACGGGGAAGGCCGACAACAAGAAGACGCACTCGATGTTCCACGAGGTGTTCCTCTCTTGGAGGGAGCAGAAGCCGAAACCGCACAATTCCAAGCTGAATCATCTGTTCGTAACAACACAGAATCCGATGATCTCTACTACAAAGCAGAAGAAGAAATGGACACTTTTATTTTGGATATTCTTACTAAGCGGCCTGCTTTGGATGCCGCACAGCGCAAAAGGGATCAAGAAACTGCCAGCATGACCAGAGATTCTTGGAACGATGTAATTAAGCACACCAGCCACTACTACCCAACAACCACCAAAGGAAGAACAGACCAGTATGCCTGGTGCGGCCAGTTTGGTAGCTACCGCAGAATATCTCAATAGTGCCAAAGAAGATCTCTGCCAAGAAACACCAAACACTACTGGTACTACCAACCACCTCCGCATGCATCTATTAGCTGCAGATATCAATGAAGCTGCCAAAATGGATTTAGAGTCCAGAGAAGCAGAAATCATGGATATTGTGGCTGACAGGGCAAATTCGGCAGTCTCCGAACGTCTCAATGCCAAAGAAGACCTCCATAATAAAGGAAAACCAAACACTACTGACGGGAACAACGTCTTGCAAATAGGCACAGAAATCCAGGAAGCCGCCAAAATGGGGGAAAATGAAGAAAATGCGGCTAATGCCAACACAAATGATGCACAAAAAGCTGCTCTTGTGATGATGGAACAACAAGGTAGTGTACCAGGAAATATGGTAGACTCCCCCGCAGTAGTAGAGGCTGCCCCACAACCTGCCTTGCACCAAACAAGAACCCAGATGCGTCCACAATCTCAGCCAGGCGCGTTCCTTTGGTGCCACCTGGACAACACATGCAACGAAACCCCAACTTGAACTATGGCCTTGTTGGTGCTAATTCGGGCATTGATGGCGATGGTCCTGGAAGATCCAGTGTTGGTACTGCAGCACAGATATCAACAAATCAAGGCTTGGTACAGGCAAATATCGTAGAGGATAATACAGCCGAATTGATGCATGCCAATCCGGTTGATCTCGAAGCCACCCAGCAGCGTACACTCCAAAGGAAGCAGCAACAGAAAACTTTCTTTGCAGTAGTTCTTTGTTGTTGCTGGTTGTTGCCATTGTTGTGGGATTCGTGGTAAGCACCCAAAAGAACAAGGATCCGGATGTGGTTGTCCTCAAGTCGACTGAAGCTCCATCAGTTTATGGATCCATGGAACCATCAGATGTACCATCCTCTGCCCCCACTGGAACTCTAGACTTGCTCTTGGATAGTCTCCCTGACTACACTTTGGTCAGCATCAACAAAGGCAGTGAGACTCCACAGTGGAGAGCATGGCAATGGCTAGCCAATCACGAAAACATCACAAACTTGCCAGAATGGAGAAAGACACAGCTGTTTGCCCTAGCTACTTTTTTCTATGCATTTGAGGGAGACAATTGGAATTCTTTAATAAAGGGCCACGGATGGATGGATGACATGGTGGAAGAGTGCCTCTGGTTCTCAAGTGGGTTTGGTTTCTTTGTAGCTTGGGATGGAACCTACCATCAGCATTTATCCCCAGAATCTCCATGCAATGATTATGGAGAGTACACCACTCTATTTCTTCAAGGCCTCCAGCTTTCTGGTTTTTCACCATTTTTGCCACCTGAGATTGCACTCTTGACTTCCTTGTCTCTTGTAGACTTTTGGATGAATGACATTGCTGGACCTCTTTCATCTCTGTTACCGACAGATTTATCTGAGAGATGACTGGATTGTCCCACATTGACCTGGGAGCTAATCAGTTTTCGGGCCAAATTCCCTCCGAGCTTTCACAATTGACTTCATTGACCCAGCTTGAATTGTATGGAAATCGGTTGACAGGTCAAATTCCTTCTGAGCTCGGGCTCCTGACCTCACTGGACAATCTTGCACTTTCCCACAATCAATTGACCGGTCCATGGCCTTCCGAGCTTGGGCTCCTGAACTCATTGACTGATCTTTGGCTTCAAGAAAATCAGTTGACGGGTCCAGTTTCTTCCGAACTTTGGCTCCTGACCTCATTGAAAAAGCTTTGGCTGAATGACAATCAGTTGACAGGTCCACTGCCTTCTGAACTTTGGCTCCTGACTTCGTTGGACATGCTAAGTCTTGATACTAATACGTTCACCGGTCGAATTCCTTCTGAGCTTGGAAAGTTGACTGATTTGACTTCTTTAGAGTTGAATCAAAATCAGCTCACCGGTCGAATCCCTTCCGAGCTTGGAAAGTTGCCTGGTTTGACTTGGCTTGAGTTTGATCGAAATTTGCTCACTGGTCGAGTCCCTTCGGAGCTTGGTCAACTGACCCTATTGCAGAGACTTGTCCTTGATGACAATCAGTTTGCCGGTCCTATTCCTTCTGAGTTTGGAGCATTTACTGGTTTGAGTTGGCTGTTTCTGAATGACAACCACTTCACTGGCCCAGTTCCCAAGGAGCTAGGGCTCTTGACCTCATTGGAATATCTTGAGATTCCTTTCAATCAGCTGAGCAGTCCAATTCCTTCTGAACTTGGGTACATGACCTCATTAACATCACTCCAACTAAATGGCAATCAGTTGACCGGTAAAATTCCTCCTTGAGCTTGGGTTCTTGACCTCATTATACTGGCTTGTCCTTTCTGAGAATCGGTTGACCAGTCAAATTCCTTCGGAGCTTGCATTCCTGACCTCACTGTACCGGCTTGACCTTTCTGATAATCGGTTGACAGGTGAAATTCCCTTCCAAGCTTGGGCTTCCTGACCTCATTGTACCGGCTTGACCTTTCTGATAATTTGTTGACAGGTCGAGTTCCTCTTGAGTTCAAAAGCATTTACTGCTTTGACTGAGCTGTGGTTGAATGGCAACCAGTTCACTGGTCGGGTGCCTATGGAGCTTTGGCTTCTGACATCGTTGTCGGAGCTTCACCTTGATGACAATCAGTTTACCGGAACAATCCCAACAGAAGTTGGCATGATGACATCACTGACATGGCTGGGTCTTCAGAACAATAACCTGACAGGAACCCTTCCTATCCAGCTGAATGCATCTATGGGGTTGAGTCTATATGGGAATCAGTTCTCAGGAAGTGTGCCAGAGCATCTATGCTCTTTTCCCAATTGTGATTGCTCCCTAAATGAAGCTCCTCCTGTTGCCACCTGTGCTGACCTCAAAGCTCCACCTGCTTGGCCTGGACGGTTTCCAACTGCAGGTCTTGCTGTCATGCTGAATATTCAAACTGATAAAGATCCAGAAGAAACATCATGGGTTTGGCAGAAAGAAACCAATGTGACTGGTGTTTGGGGCACATTGGAATCCAGTGGTCCATTGGCGAATCCAAAGTATCTTTACTCCTCTCTCTTCCCTGTGAACATTGACAAAGCCTACAGACTGGTTGTATCTGACAGTTGGGGTGATGGTGTCAACATCCCTGGATCTCTCTCTG